AGAGCACAGGGCTCCAGTGGCGAATTTGCCAATCTTGGTGTTCTCTGGCAAATTCCAAACGTCCTGCACGGTATTGGGCTGTAAGCACAATCCCCACCTGTGGACCCTCATACCACCCTCATGGAGACTGTTTCTGTCCGTTTGAGCAGCCACATGCACATTTGTGGCCCACTGAAGACCATTTTGCAGGGCTCTGGCAGTGCTCCTCCTGTCCCTCCTTGCACAAAGGCGGAGGTAGCAGTCCTGATGCTGGGTTGTTGCCCTCCTACAGCCTCCTCCATGTCTCCTGATGTACTGACCTGTCTCCTGGTAGCGCCTCCATGCTCTGGACACTATGCTGACAGACACAGCAAACCTTCTTGCCACAGCTCACATTGATGTGCCATCCTGGATGAGCTGCACTACCTGAGCCACTTGTGTGGGTTGTAGATGCTGTCTCATGCTACCACTAGAGTGAAAGCACTTCCAACATTCAAAAGTGACCAAACCATCAGCCAGAAAGCATAGGAACTGAGAAGTGGTCTGTGGTCATCACCTACAGAACCACTCTTTTATTGGGGAAGTCTTGCTAACTGCCTGTGCTTTCCACCTGTTGTCTATTCCATTTGCACAACAGCATGTGAAATTGATTGTCAATCAGTGTTGCTACCTAAGTGGACAGTTTGATTTGCTGTGTGTGTATTATTCAAACACTTCTCTCAAATACATCTCCCTGTATGCGCTCATTCTCCTAACGGGGAATTACCTCAACAAGAAGTGTGATTGACTTGGAGTTACATTGTGTTGTTTAAGTGTTCCATTTATTTTTTTGAGCAGTGTATATTCATGGGTAAACGCTCGGTTATTTTGTTTACAATCTTTTAAAGATAAGAGTTGGAATGTACTTTTGCTTTCAAACTGCTGCACTACTCTTCCGGATTTCCTTCCTCCCTTCCCCTTTTTTAATGGCAACTACTAAAACAGGCATAGGAATGTTTTATGAGTTGACAACAGTCCCATCTAGCTGGCAAAACTCTATGGGCATCCTCAGCCATTTGAGTCTCAGTCCCAGCTTTTTGATGACTTCATGGCTAACTACGCACCTAGTGCAACCCAAGTCCAATAAAGCCAGCATCCTCCCTTGGGTCCCCGAAGAGGGAACCACTTGTTTCTACAGGGAGAGTTACAGGGGTCACCTGCTGACGTCATTGTCATTATCACTTTCAGTCTCACCCAAGTTGGAGTTCCCAATCCCTCAGAGGGATGAACTCTATGACCTCCAGACCTGTCAGTGCTGTCTCTCAGGTTCGAGGAACTGGTTTCATTGCCCCCTCCCTAGGGGTTGTCGTGGTGCTGAATTTGGGATTTCTGGGTTGGCATGCTGCAGTTCGGTGTCCTTCCTTCCCACATCTGAAGCATGTTGTGATCCTGGGGTGTTTTTTACATGTGGGAAGGATAGACTCACCCCATCCACTGGCCCTCCAGTATCGGTCCCGGACATGGTCGATCTCTACTTCCCCTGCCAACACACATACCAGCATTGTAGGGTTCATGGGCCCTGTGTGAGACACAGGTATGGTAGACATCATCATTGAGGCCATCTTTGAAGCAGTTGATAAGAATGTCTTTGGGCCACATGGCTAACCAGTCTGCCAGCTCTTGGAACTTTTAAGAGTATGTGATCATGACTATTGTCCTTGGGTGATAGTCTTTATCCAGTTCCAAGCCTTGCGCTTGGCCAGTTAAACCTTGAAATGCTGGCAAAAGGCTTTTATAAAGTTGTTATAGTTCCACAGTTGGGGGCATTGTTATTGTGGAGGAAGACCATTCACTCAGTCGCTGCACCCTCCAGAGCCATGTTTACCCATCTTATTCAGGCTTCTCCCATCTCCATATTCCTGCAAGTAGTTCCAGACTTGCACCAGGAGGAATCCCAGTTGCTCAGGGTCCCTCCCATACGTAACCTCTAAGTCTGGGACCTTTGGGGCCTGGTGTCTTTGAGGAGCAGTCCACATAGGCAGAATGGCTTGTGCAACTTGGTCAGGGACATTGAGTAGCTGTCTCTGCAAGAGGCTCTTGGGCTCTTTGACTCCCCCATACCTATTATATCAGCATGGCTTTCTCTAGGCTTCTTCTGGTGGGGGATCTTCCCTTTGCCCCAGGCCAGGGGTGGGATTCTACCAGTTCTGACCAGTTCTATAGAATCGGTAGTTATGATTCTGCACAGTTTGTAGAACTGGTAAATTGCACCCCTGGCTAGCCCTGCCCTTCCCTGCCCGTCCCTCCCCTCCCACCCACCACCCACCCCACCAGTCACTCCTCATCTCGCTCGCCATTATTAACCTGCCTTTGCCTGCCATTGCTGCCTGCCTTTTGCCAAGGCCCTGATCTCCCTGGGTGAGTGAGCCTGCAAGAAAACCCCAGTTGAGTTAACCCCCCAGCTGGCCTAGGCCACTGCGCTGTCCCCCTACCATCCCTGGGCTTGCCTGGCTTGCTTCACTGCTGGGGCAATCTCCTTTTCCCCCCTGGCCTGGGCTGAACTGGCCGGGAGAACAAATTCCCCAAGGATTTCTTTGCCTAGCCGATGTGCAACTCCTTCACGTTTCTTGCCATTGTAAGCAGGGAAAGAAAAGTTTGTGTGGGGCTAAAAAAAAAAAGTTAAATCAATCAATTCCAATTTCTAGCAAAAGAAAACGATCGCGATTAACTTTTTTTTTTTAGCCCCACACAAACTTTTCTTTCTCTCCACATGATGGCAAGGAGTTGCAAATCAGCCAGGCAAAGAAATCCTTGGGAGAAGCGAGGGCATCTGGGAGATGGTGGGCGGGGAAAGCTTCATGGTGCCATGCTGCAATGGTGAAACAGGCAACGGAGTGGCCAGCATGAAGGAAGGAGGAGGCCGCCTGCTGCCCTTCTCTTCTCCTTGTTCCTCCTGCTCCACTCATGATGGCTGCTCCATTTCCTACTTCTACATTGTAGCGCAACACCCAGGAATCCACTTTGGTAGCATGGTGGTGGTGGGGATAATTTGCCTGGCCAAACTAACCCTGTACAGTCTCTGCTACATACATCGGGCTCAGCAGCAGCTTCGATCAATTGGCGGTGAACAAAACAGCCCCATTGCGTTTTGAAACATCCCTGGGGGTGGGACGGGGTTTCTAAAGTGCACATTCTCCGACTTCTCAGCAAGCCGCAGGACCTCTCCGGGCTCAGCAGAGGCAATTTGGCTAGTGTCTTTTTAGCTGGGCTGGCGTGTGTATGTGCTTTCTAGGAGTCTTCTCTTTTAAGGGGGCGCTAGCTTTGGGATTTACAGGATTTGCGGGTTGATCTGTTCCCTACCTCCTCCTCCCCACCCCCTTTCCTTTGGCTTTATAGGTAGATGGTCCTCCCTGGGATTTGCATCTGGTTCACTGCCTACAAGTCTGTTATTTTTGGAGGGTCCTTTTTGGGCAGGATGAGCTGTGGTTTTGCATTGATGTTCGGATGGATGGGTGTGTGGTTGTTTAATTCCATTAATGAAGTTCACTTTATCTTAAGTGCTGCCTTTGAAACTATAGTTTTTCATTTGTGCATTTTAGAAAGCTTTGGTGTAAGAGTAAGAACTTAGAGTGTATTCATATTGTAGCTCTGGTTTTAAGATTGGGATCATATAAAGTTGAAAGGGAATAATGATAATAAATAAAAAGTAGAATATCATAGCATTAAGTAGAAAGTTACTCTTTTGACATTTGCTCTCTTGTAAAATATATGTTATCCTGCTGTAAACATATTTCCTTATGCATTTACTCATTGGTAAACATATGCCTGAAATCAATTGCATCCTCCTGGATCAAGTATATGATCCTGTTATCTACATCCTTCATAAATAATCCTTCATGAATCTTTCCATAAATGCCACCCCATTTCCTCCAGAAATTGGCACGTAACTATATATCCAACTGTCAAAGCACACACATCTTTGACCTATGGTGTTAACAAAAGGCTGAAGTGGTCAGTTAGGCAGACAACAGAGAAAAGATAAAAACATCTATTTTCCTAGCTATTGATAAAATTTAAATATCTAAAATGTCAAGGATATTTTGATCTGTTAATCATGGGGATCTGAATATTTGCTCATACCATGTCATAATGTTGTCTTTTTTATCTTTTCAACATTTTACTGAGCACACCTATTTGTGTTCTTACAATTCTATATAACTATATACAGCAACCACAAAAGGAAGCCACTACATGGAAATAAAAAATCAACATCGTAAAATAAAATATGTAATAAATTGTGCATATCCGTACTCTTGTAAAGTTGTTATATGTCAGAGATTATCTTAGACTTTCTAATTTAGACCTGCAGGTGTTTTATTTCACGCTGCCTTACATCTAATGCAGAAATACGGTAAACATAATAAAATATTGTTAGGTTGAATTCATAGCACTTACACTTACACTCTAAAATAGTAATTGAGTCAAACTTACTGTAGCTCATTTTTACAATGTTCTATTGTAAACATTTGGAAGATATATGTCTCTTTCTAGTTTAAGTCACCTGCCAGTTTATATTAATGCATCTTTATCTATTGTGCTCTATTTCATACTGCTCCAGGAGATTTTTACATGATTTCATATGATAGCATACATCCTACTATAGCAGAAAATTGACTTGAAATTCAACTACTCTATTTCTCCTGTCTGACAGACCTTGAAATACAAAATAAAATTTTATATAAAGATGGAAATAATAACAGATAATTTATTTTTTCCAACTAGAGAAGGAATTCATGAACTAAGAGGGTGTTTGGTTGGGTGGATTAATAATATATATCAAGACTTTTAAGAGGAAATTTCCAAGCAGAAAACAACTGAGGAGAATTTATGAGTGAGAATATATGGTACATATGCCAACTCTGTAAAAAGTGTTTACGAATATTTATTTCTTCTCTTCTGATGTTGACCTGTTAAGTTTTTAATCCAACTCATGTTGAGTTCTTAGAATATTTCAGTCATTATATGTTGTAACTAACTAGCATTTATTCATATTTAGGTTGTAAAGTAGTATCTGCTTCTTTTAATAATTTGTCAGTTATGTTCACCATATTTTTCTTAATAATTTTTAGAGGATTTTCATGAAGAAGTATTTGTGTTAGGTATTTCTCCCGTTTAATTTTGCTCTTAGTTTTCCTTGACACATCTGGAATGGTATATGAAATGGCAAACTTCACAAAGTAGACAACATGCTGGAAAAAAGTTAATAGAAAGACAATCAGTTTCTTACAATGAACAAGTATTATTGGAGGGAGAAAAAACAGCATAATTGTTGATGTGCCCGTTTGTAATTCTCTGATTAATGTGAAAGGTATATAATGCTGTTTCTTATCATTCATTGTGATAGAGGGATCTGATCTCTAGACAAAAAATCAAATTGTACCCCACAGAGTAATTGTCTTAGCTCAACTAAAAAGAGAAATATTTCTTTATGCAATGCTGCAGGATGGTTAAAAAAAAGAGGTTATTTAGTTGGCAATATCTGTTCCATTAATTCAGCATTTGATTACAAGTAAACTACTGGCATTGAGGCCATTATTGTGTATATAAGGTGTGGGAGCATAGCATTCTAATGCCATCTCCTTAACATTAACATTAGATTTGCTTTTTCTTATCTCAGTCATTACAAAAGTAATGAAAAGGCAGCATCCATATATGCATTCTCTTTGGAAATTATTTTTATCCTCCATCTTAAAAAATTAAACAGAAGAACTGTTGCCATTTTGTTAGGATAATACAACACAGGAAAGATTTTTTAAAAATACAAATTTCATCCTCATTGAACATTTTTTTCACAAAGTGCATATTTAAGAACAGTGAAGGTAAAATTAAACTGATTTAGAGTCTTTTCATTTAAATAAAAAATATTTGCAAATTTTTGGTATCCATTTTTAACTAAAGAAAGAACATAAAATTGATAGTAAGAATCAGAAATAAAGTATGGATGGAGTGATCTGGTTAAAAAATGACAGTAAAACCAGATGAAGAGTTAATGACATCAGAGACAATGCTTGAAGTATAGAACTGAATTTAGCACCGGTCAAAGTACAAGAGAATATTTCCATACATACATTCATGTCTGTTATAAATTGATTTGAAATCAATCCTACTTGCCAGCTTTTATAGTTATATAAAGTAGAATCTGCACATCGGTAAGTGTGGGTAACAAACTATTTGGAGAGACCTAATAGCAAGTTCCCTTAAATAATATGCTTTTATTAATAATTTTCACTGATTGTATATGATAATCTATGATGGCTGGCAGAAGGAATAGTCTGTGATAGGTTCATATAAGTATAGACAAAGGGAAACTGGATAGTTGTAAGAAATATACAACAGATACTGACAGGGCTTTAATGCTAAAAATTGGGGAAAAAACAGTTAAGATTTAGAAATAAATATACTGACCTCCATCACAAGGATGAATGCTAACTTGGCTGCAATAACATGCCAGTAATAAATATTATGTTCATATTGATGTTTGTGTCCAGGAGGGTTTCGGAAATCTCGATATCTAACATAGTTAAAAAAAAGTCATTCCAACAATTATTTCAAATGTCTGCATTAATGTACATAGACCAGAAGGGGGAGCAAAAGATACCTGTTGCTCTGATTTTAACTCAACATACTGTATAAGAAAATGTAATCAGAATAAATTACAATCAAATATGCAACCAGGGGTGGGATCTGACAGGATTAACTACCGGTTCAGTGATTAACGAGGTTCAGTGATTTACGATGTGCTTCCCTGCATGCTGTGCATGCGCCTGTAAATCGTCATCAGCTTGATGCCTGGACAGCTAAGCAGTGCTGCGTGCAGAGAAGCAGCCTTTGAAAAAGCACTTTTTTCCTGCTTTTTAAAATGCAGTTGTGCCTCGCACAGCAGCTGAAGTTGAAAAAGCAGGAAATAAAGGTCAGGTAAGAGCCCGGGCGGGCAGGTAAGCAAAAACATCAGCAGACATAGAACCAGTTCTATGTCTGCTGCTCTTCAGAGCTACCGGTTCTACAGAGGTGGACAGAAGCGGTAGAAACCCACCCCTGTATACAACCATATCAGAATTGCAGAATTGCATCATACTACTTTTATATTTTTATGTAAGATAATAAAAATAGTTGCGTAGAAGTAAATTACCTTGATTTTCCTTTTAGCAATTTTAATTTCCATTATTTTATACAGCCTAACAAGCAAAGGCATACTGATTTTGTTCCTATCTAATAACTTTAATCAGACTTTAATATAGACTTGCCTGCATATTGTCAAATTGGCAAATATGGGAATAACATGTGGCTTGCTTTCATTTCGGAAATCTGATACAGCAAAAATAGAAAGAGTATTGTTTATATATCCCTTCATGGTATAGCTACTGTGATCTCCATAGGGTGGGACTGAAAATGACCAGAAGTAAACCAGGCGTGGAATCATATCTGATGTAAAAGCAATTATCATTGCCTATATTGAAAACAGGAATAAGAGAACATTCGCTTGCTGAGATGGTTGGTTATAGAAATCAAATAAATCAAATAAAAACAGATGGTTTAAATCTTCCTAAACAGAGATATACATGGATAAATATTATACAGATTATTTGCATTCTTGGTAGAGTACAAATACAGCATAGAACTCCTATTTATTATTTCTACTAAATTCATTATTTCTGCTAAATTCTTCTAAATACACAGCAATTGCTTTCAGGAAAATCTGTTGTAACATATCCCTTCTTTCTTTATGATTGTACCTCCTTCTTTATGTCTCACTACTTTAAATTATTACAATGTATTCTATGAACCAACAGCATTTTCTAATTATTATTACTAATAATCTAACTAATTACTAATAATTTAATAATAAATTTATCGAATTTATTCTTTCTATAAAGCTTGCAGTAACAATAGCTATAAGTTTATTTAATAATTTATTTTCATTTTACCTAATATTCCTCACTGATGTCAGAATATGCAAAGTCTCAAGCACTGTCCAAAGGTCTTCAGGTCTGACAGAACAGTGGGGAATGGAAGGATTTATATTATAAACATTATTATATAATATAATATAAATCCTTCCATTTCCCACTATCTTGTCAGACCTGAAGAAGCTTCTTGGATGAGAAGTGAAAGTTCTTCAAAGAAAAAACAAGAAGTCCAGTTGCCTCCAGAATAAGTTGCTTCCCCTCTTTTGGGGAAAAGAGCATTATCTTTGCCTGGTGCAGTTTGTTTCAAAGCTGATTCCTTCACAAATTAAATATTTTAAATTACATGTCAGCTTATGACAATTGGCTAGAGATCTACCATTTATATTAGTTTATATAATTTACAGATAGCAATATAAGAAACTAAATTTGAGTTAAATATTGCAAGGTCTGAATTTTCTCTACTTGTGTTTATCCCAAACATTTTTGAAAAATGATGTTTGAATCTTGGTAAATCATTTAAAGAAGAAACATGTTTAAAAGACTATTATCTCTCTTTAAAATGTAGATTATTTATATAGTTCCTTTTATGACATAAGTTTTCAATGTCTTAATATCTATTCAAATCTGTGTAATAAACCTGAGAATGTATCTTAGGTAGAAACTTTTATATCACTGATCTACCATGATTTGAATTTTTTTGCAACAAGAATTAGTAGCTTCTCTGACTGATTGAATTAAAAAAAGATGATTTAACTATTTATTTAATTTTAAGATGTATAAGTCTGCCCAACTCAGTCAGTGTGTATCTGAGGGTGCAGGGTACAAGATAAACACAATAAATCAAGAAGAAACTAACAAATATAACAATGAGCAGACAGTATAGAAAAAGAAAAACTAAAATGGTGGCAAAGTGCACAACAAACAAACAACCCCCATAGGGGGTTGGGGGGACACATACCACCCAGCTGGCCTTTAATGGCTGGGGGAAGTCCCAGGCCTTAACGGCTTTCCTAAAAGTAGGAAGATTTGAGGCTTGTTTTACATTAAAGGGATATAGAGAGAGAGATCATATTTTATGTTCCTATTATTGCTTATCTGTCAACCCTGAAGTGAACTTGGCTGAGGCCATCTTTGAAGCTTCAGGGCTGCCACAAGGAAGAAAAAGAGATGGGGGGGAAGGGGAAATAGATAGTTGGGGTTTGTAGTCAAAACAAAAAATTTTCCTGTGGGAGCCAAGGCCCAACAGGTGCTGGGGAGAGGAGGAGTGGAGTAACCAAGAAACCGGCCAGCATCTCTTTTGGACAATGGGACTGATGATGTGGTAGGAAGGGGGAACTTTCACTTTTTAATTAAATGAAAACCGCAGGAACTTTCAGAGTCGGTTTTCACCAATTGTGCCAGTATGATGTATCCAATAAATTGTTCTTTGAGGAGTTCTGCTTTCAGTGGGCACATTACTTGCAATGTTGACACTATCTCTGTATAAATATTTTAGGAAAACAGCAGGATATTCATTAAACTGATCTAAGTCATGACAGATGTATTTATTTATTTTATAAAATTATATGCCACCCATCTCACCTGGAAGTGACTTTAGGAGGCTTACAAATAGATCGAAAGTATTTCACAAATTTATTAACCAATTATCAATTTTGTGTTTGTAATGGATACACTAAGTATGTTGGTGTTGTTATCCTGTGTGATGTTTCAGGCAATCATTTTAAATATGAATAAAAGATATAAGGAGATATCCTTGGATTTCAGTAGTTCTAAAATCTTGGCATTTTACACAATTTAGGTGGACTTTTTTCTTCTTCTTTTTCTTCTGTTCAATCATATCCAATTCTCAGAGACCCCCTCCAGTTTTCTTGACAAGATTTTTCAGAAGTATTTTGCCTTTGCCTCTTTCCTAGGGCTGGGAGTAAGTGGCTAACCTAAGGTGTCTCTGTGTACTAAGGCAGGAGTAGAATTCACAGACTTCCAGTTTCTAGACTGATGTCATAACCGCTACACCAAATTAGCCCTCATTTCTGTGGAATGCCTATATGTATATCTGCAAAGTATTTAAAAATATAGTACAATGCTTATTAATTTTCTGAAAGAATCTTTAGTTCACTATTAAAGTAGGGAGATTTGGTTTTGAACTCTTGAATCTATAGCTTATATCCTGTGACAATATATTAAACACTCTCATCTGTTTAACTGTCCTCAGAAACGATTCGATAGGGGGACAAAAATGCCAAAACTGGTCTAAATATCTGGCTGACTCTGCGACCAACTATTATAATCTGCCAATACATATAGGAAGACTTGCTTGGAGCAGTTATTTAACAGGACAAATAGGCCTCCAAATTCCTGGTCTGAAACCAGAGTGGAATCAATCTTGATAATTTGCTTTCTTTCAGCCAATACCCTTCCAAGTACCATGCACTCAAGTGGCATATCTCATATATCTCTGTGCCCAGGAAATTATTTAGGAAAGCTACTAGTATGTCTCTTTCAAGGCACCCAGATGGTCTCTTGACATAATAGGTATCCAATCACTTTTCTCTGCTAGCTGCAATTTTTTCCGATCCCAGTATTTCATGCTCTGGTAGCTTCCTGCCTAGATAAATTCAATATGCTGCATATGGAGTTGCATTTGAACAGGACAAAAGGCTACAGACAACTGTCAGGAATAGTTATTAAATTACCATTTCTAACAAATTCATGCAGTGAAGAGAACTGAACATGAATTTATCAGAGGAGATGGATGGTTCTTAATAATGGGATTATTTTTCACTCTCTTATAATAATAATAATTAATAATAATAATGGAATAGATAGAGGTAGTTTTGGTTTTGGTTTTAAATGTTTGGCTAAATAAGTACCCTCAGATTCTAGTGCAGAGTTGGTGATTGGGCTGTCTACTGAACCTGTTTGTAGCACGCTCAGCTTTTACATTTGTGATAAGTCAGATATTACAAAGGCCCTTAAGTCTCTCATGGTTCTTAATCAAAAGAACAACACATGAAAGCAGACTACTAATATTTGGGGGAGGATGACTGAAAATTCTGTTCTTTGCATATGATGTCTTTTGAATGAGGTTCTATTAACTGTAGTTGGCCTGAATTATTTATTAGATTTAAATCCCATATTTTTTTTTCTAAAATCTCCTTCATTTAATTACGACAAAAATATATCTCTGAAATGGATTGGGGAGAGAGAGAGAGAGACAGAAAGACTGACTGAGGTTCAGGTGAGTTTTGGTGGCTGAGAGTGAACCTGAATCTGAGTCTCTCTAGTCCAACTACTGTTTAATCATGGTTGGTTTTTATAATATCTAACAAGTGAATTATTAAAAAGTACACATTCTTGTAATGTTTATAAGCAGGTAATGTTTGTTGCAAATATGTACTTACATTGGTTATCACAGCCAGAATGGCTATTCCTTGCATGATAGGTTGCCATGCCCCTATATGTTGGGCTTTTTGGGAAACCATGCGTCTATACTGTGTGGTAATCTTCCAAGCATCCACGTGAATTTCCAATAAATTGTTAATAAGGGCCAGAAGTGGTGCCAATGGGAATGATGTTACAAATAATGTTACAAATCCAAACTGTATAACTGAAAATAATGAATACATTATTACATTGTTAATGGAACAGTAGTGCTTTATCTGTTTTGAAATATTGTATCAGCCAAAATTGTAGCTATTCAAGATCAGCCAAAATCCATCAATTCCTAATATATGTGAACTAATTGAACACAACAATCTGGTATGCTTATTTAGATACATTTATTGGCAATTTGCAGCTATCAAGAATCAAGGCAACAATTAAAAGGTTCTTTATTGTTAATTTAAAAAAAATTAAAAAGCTTTTGAGTTGAGCTCAATTTTCAGTAATGAAAGTTCATGTAATACATGACCTTCCTGGCTTGCTTTAGGGATGGAGTTGCCAAGTCTTTTCATTATGTTTTGACATCTTTCCAATCCAGCCCAAAGCCCTAAAAGTCCTAGACTGCTTTTATTAAATAGAACTGACCGTGATTACCTTTTTATATCAGCAGAAATCATCTAAATGCCACCAGCTGTTGAATTATATTGTTAATTAGGATGCTTTTTTTAAAAAAAATACAGCTGAAGTATTTTATTGCTATGTACTTTTCTCTTGCTAAAATAGACCAAAACATACAGGAGATATTCACAACATGATGCATATCATTCAAAGTTTATTCAATCATTTGCAGTATCTTATTCAATAAATTTCCAGCATGTTATTCAATATTTCAACAAAAGAATATTTACATTATTAATGTGGTGATCATCTATCTCTCTGTCTGTCTGTCTGTCCATACATACATACATGTATACATACATACATACATACATACGTACGTACATACATCATATATATGGTACATTCAAAAAGTATTCAAACCCCCTTTACTTTTGTCATTTTGTTATGCTACAGCCCGATTCTACAGTTGTTGAAATTCACTTTTTCTCATTAATCTATGCCCAGTACCCCATAATAACAAACTAAAAACAGATTTTTAGAAATGTCTGTAAATTTATTAAAAAGAAAAAGAAAAAAAACTGAAATATCACATTGGCATAAGTATTCAGACCCTTTGCAGCAACACTTGAAATTTAGCTCAAGTGCCTCCCATTTCTCTTGATAGTTGCTGACATGTTTCTATGCCTTGATTGGAGTCCACGTATGGTAAATTAAATCGATTGGACATGATTTGGAAAGGCACACACCTCTCTATAGAAAGCCTTACAGGTGACAATACGTACTGTAAAAGAGCAAAATTCAGGAGATTAAAGGGACTGCCTGCAGAGTTCAGAGCAAGGCACAAATCTGGGGAAGGCTACAATAAAATTTCTGCTGCACTGAAAGTTGAATTAAAAAGTTTGAGCATCTTTTCAGAGAGAGGTAAGCATGAATGGACTTTGTATTCAAGACACATACCGAAGCATTTTTAATACTGAAGTCTATGACTCAACCAAAATTCCAGCATAAATTTACACATTCATTTTACATATAATTTAAGCATCGTTCTTTGCATTAGGCCTGCGTATGTGTGTAGGATTACAAACATGTACATGAGATACACACACATTCTCTTCTTTTCCCCTATTCTGTATTTAACAGAATTTGTGAAGCAAACTTTGATCCAATATATAACATGACAACAAGAAATAAAATGGTTGGTTGACTTACCCATTTCAAGGTATTCATAAAACAATCTAAGCTTGCCATTGGGCTGCAAATGGTAGTCCTGCTCCCAGCGAGGAACAATAGTTTCTGATCGTGTAACTGAGCGGCATCTCCCAGTCAAATTTTTAAGCCACCTGTACATTTGGAGAATCAGCAAGATTTATTCTATCTGCTAGAGCAGAGGTTTAAATTTGAATTCTATCAGCATTTCTTTGTAGCTCCCAAAGTTCCTCAAAATAGTAGAGCTAAACATTTCAATTTTTCCTCACATCGGGAGGATTTGATCAATCTATTTCAAATTGAAAAAATAAAACACAATCAATTGATAATTTCTATGTTCAAAATAATCCCAAATCGATAAAGAAGGAGGAGCCAGCTGGTGTCATTGCAAATGGGTGTGCGAGAGTTTCTGTCCATCTGTAGGGGCAACAGGAGAGGAAGGGCTCTCTGCAGATCACAAATGGATGGCAGTTCATTTTGCTGGTCAGGAGAAATCCTTCCTGAAAGAAGTTGGAGAAGAATACGGCCATTAATGGCCAAACTGAGGCAATGACAGCTGGTCAGAGTAAGCAGTGAAAAAGTGGAAGGAAGCAGTGGATTGGACCTTTTCCCAACTCCTACCAAAGTGAGTGAAATTCCAGTGCTGATTGAAGAAGAAAGGGGGGCTCTGCACAGAAGAAGGGAAGGGAATATCTCTCCCTCCACTTTAGAAGTGGCAAGAAAAAAAAAAACACGGAGCAGTCACAGATCTATAAGCAAACTGGGAGAATTGTTGTTATAAAAAAAATCAGAGAAATTGGACTGGACCTGTTAAAGAAGATCCAGATAGAGCTAACTTGGGATAGAGATAATTTATAATTATATTGAGTCACTTTTCTGAACTTTGGGCTAAAACAGAGAAAGCAAAATGTCTAACCCCCTTACTTTGACATATAAAGTATGGTAAGAAGAGAAGAAAGGAGCAAGGAGGACATCTACTGGCCAAAGTGGGTATAAAATGTGGATTAAAGCTGTCTTCACCTTTTTGGAATACTGATCTACTGGAGGTTGGTGACTTAACAGGACTTGTGAACTGGTGGATTATAAACATTCTCTATGGACCTACAATACTACTGGCCAATGTGGGTATAAAATGGAAGCATCGTGGAAGTGATGAATATTTCCTTTTTTCTCTTCTCACTTCTTGGACACTATAACTCTGGCTGACTTGTGGCGGATTACAAACAATGTGGATTAAAGCTGTCTTCACTTTTTTGGAATACTGATCTACTGGAGGTTGGTGACTTAACAGGACTTGTGGATTACAAACATTCTCTATGGACCTACAATACTACTAATGGACAAATAAAGCAGAACATTAAGGACAAGTATAACAAACCCTTTTGGATTACCAATTCCCTCCTCTTATCCTGGTCTCATCACTATCATAATCATCGTCATCACCATTACTATTATTATCATTTCCTAATTACATATAGGGCATTGTGGAGTACAAAAGAATGGACTAAAAGAAGAATGGAAGTGGATTTTTCTTTTTTATAGCTATTGGTTAAGCGAGATTTGGTGTGCTGGAGGGTTATATATGTGTCAAAAATGATTGGAGGTGTTGGTTACTGAAAAAGCTGACAAAATTGCTGACCATGACAAGCACTTCAAACGTAACTAAGATAGAGTTAGGGAAGAAACCTGCCTCCACACCATCATCAGCTACCTCAAGCCTATCCAATCAGAGGTCAATAGAAGACATGTTACAAATGGAGAGATCAAACCCATTTAGGGAATTACAGACCATGCTCCAGTCGATGCAGGAGACTATGACAAAAAACCACGACAAAATGAAGAGGGAAATAGGACAAGTGAGAAGTGATATAGGAGAATTAAAAGACAAGATACAAAAGATGAATGAAAATTTTGACAATTTCCAGCAACTGATTACAAAAAATGAACAAAAAATACAGGAAATAGAAGAGAGGATGGATAAAGAAGAAACAATAAAATAAGGAAAGGAGTAAGGAGGATTCTACCTAGAACCTTCTTCAAAGTGGCAGAAGAGTTAAATATATAAGATGTATGGAGAGAGAGGAACCCGGGGGAAAACCAATACACATTTTATTCTAACAGACACAGATCCTGGTCTGAATAGACATGATGTGGATGTTGATGGAATTAAATACAAATGTATATGAGGCAGTAATAAATACAAATTTCTGGCCAGATCACAATCCTATGAGAATTAGCTGGAAAGAACTAAAGACACGTATAAGATGGACTCTGAACTAATCGATACTAAAAGATATAGAATTTAAAGAGATGTTGGAAAAACAAATGGGATTCTTCTTTAAAGAAAAGGAAAGAAGACACTTTGTTACAAAACACTTTGTTATGGGATACAGAGAAAGCATATATGAGAGGAGTTGCCATAACATTTACAGCGAAGAAAAATAAAAGGAAGAAGCAATAACAAAGAACCTTAGAAGAAGAATATAAAAGACTTGAAGCAGAGTTACAAAAGGAAACACACACACACACAAACTAAAGCAGCAAATGGACCTAACTAAACATAAATTGAATATCCTTGAAAAAGAAGAATGAAACAAAACTTTTCTGAGAATGCAAATAAATCAGGAAGATGGCTAGCTTATAAATTGAAAAAGGAAAAACAGCAAAAAATGGATAAGTAAATTGCAAGATAAAGATGTAATTCTACGTTATCAAATTGAGGAAAAAAAGATTATTATCCAGGACTTTTATAGGGAACTATATGATAATGAGAAATATCCAGAGGAGAAAATACTACACTATCTAGTATCAGAAAGTGCCAGAAACAATGAACTCTATGCTGAATGACAGAACTACAACCGAACTAGCAGAGGCAATTGAAAACAACAAAACACCAGGCCCAGATGGGCTACCGGCAGAAATATACAAACAGCTACAAGATATTTTGGGCCAATCATTATTAGAGGTGTACAATGCAGTTTTATCTGAAGTGACACAAATATCTTTGTAAGGGGGTTCTTGTCTACTTGGTCAACATTCTCATCTACACTGAGATGTTGGACGACCACATACCCCTAGTCTGCCAAGTACTGGAAAAACGTCTAGCAGCAAACCTGTATTAGGTAGATATACATTTAAGAGATGGACCCAGCCAAAGTACAAGTTGTTTTGGGCTGGCAGCCCCCTTGTACCTGCAGACAGCTACAAAGCTTCTTTGGGTTTGCAAAATTCTACCGATAATTCACCCCCTCCTTCATGAGGATTGCCAAACCCATGACAGACGTCCTAAAGACAGGGGGTCCAGGAATGAAACCCCACCTGGAACAACCCCTATGGTGGCCTAACCTGCCAAAAAGCATTTGAAACATTGAAAGAACTGTTTGCAGAAGAACCAGTATAGAAGCATCCTGACCCCGAACAACCCTTCGTCATTTAAGCAGACAGCACTGACGTGGCAGTGGGAACAGTGTTACTCCAAAGAAACAACTAAGAAAGCCTACAGCCCTGTGCCTACACCTCTCGCAAGCTCACGGACACAGAGAGACGATGGGCTGCATGGGAAAAAGAGGCTTTTGTAGTGAGATGGGCACTGCAATCCTGGCGCCACTTGCTGGAAAGGGGGCAGAGACCATTCAAAGTCTGGACCAACCATAAAAACATGGAAGCCCTTAGGACCCCTTCAACTGATTCGACTTCGTGCTAAAACACATCCCGGGGGGGAAGGAACTTTCTGGCTGACGCCCTCTCCCCCAGTACAAATGCAAAAGTGAGGAGGTCGTAAATGGCATCACCCCCCCTGCCCAAATAGCTGTCCAAGTAACCACCAGATGGCAATGCTGTGATTGGCAAGACCAACCTGCAGACGACCTAACTCCAAAACTCAAAACCAAACTGCTAGCAGACCCCTGGTTCCGGAACAATCAACACACCTTGACCAAAAGAGATAACCTGGCATGGAAGGGGACAAAACTCTACGATCTGGAATCCCTATGCACCCTAGTTCTTCAGAGAAGCCACAACGCCAAACCTGCAGGCCACTTTGGGTTCTTAAAGACTTTACACTTGGCCCAGAGGCAGTTCTGGTAGCCTGGCATAAAGAAAGATGTAGACAGTTATGTGAAAAGTTGCATCATCTGCGCCACAATGAAAAAACGACCAGGAAAACCGCCTGGACTGCTACAAACAGTAGCAAGACAGACACAGACTTCAATGGATAATTAGAACTGCAGAAAAAAACAATTGCTACCAACCTGCCTTCCATTGAGGACCTGTATACAGCTTGAGTCAAAAAGAGGGCTGTGAAAATATCTACAGACCTCTCACATCCTGGATATAAATTGTTTCAACTTCTACCCTCAAAACGATGGTATAGGGCACTGCACACCAGAACAACTAGACACAAGGACGGTTTTTCCCCAAACACCATCACTCTGCTAAACAACTAACTCCCACAACACTGTCAAACTACTTAATAAGACTGCATTACTATTATTCCTCTCATCCTTCCTATTACCTATCTCTTCCTCTTATGACTATGTGTTGCTTGTATCTTTAAAATTTATATTGTTTTATTTGTTTTCCTAGTATGTTTGATTACTTATTAGTAACCTATGACTATCACTAATTGTTGTATCTTATGATTCTTGATGAATGTATTTTATTTTTTCTTATGTACACTGCGAGCATATGCACCAAAGACAAATTCCTTGTGTGTCCAATCATACTTGGCCAATAAAGAATTCTATTCTATTCTATTCTATTCTATTCTATTCTATTCTATTCTATTCTATTCTATTCTATTCTATTCTAAATGGAAGAAGAACAAGTTAAAGAGATGATGATAGCATGGGCCAAATTTTTTTGACATAGTATAGATTTGGATAAATGGCAAAAGTTTTGGGAGAAAAATTGGAAACTGTCAATGGCCACATCTTATAAGGAAAATCTCTATAAAATGTTCTATAGGTGGCATCTGCCCCTGGCGAGATTAGCTAAAGTGTTTAAAAATATGTCCCCAACCTGTTGGAAATGTAAAGAATCAAACATATTTATTTATTTTATTTATTTATTTTGTTAAACAATTATTAGATAACAGGTATAAGTATAAACATGGTTATAAATACATGAAATGGATATGAATAAGAAAAAAAGAAATAATAGGACAGGGAAGGTAGGCACGTTTTGGTGCGCTGATGCATGCCCCCTACAGACCTCTTAGGAAAGGGGTGAGGTCAATAGTAGACAGTCTAATGTGAAGAATATTACATTATATGGTGAACTTGTTTAAAGGTAAGGAAATTTTGAACTCAAATACATATGTGGCTAGAAAAAATGACCAAACAACATATAGATTTTAAACCAGAATTGTTTTTACTAGGTATCACATCAGAGGGTTATGACAAAGGGACAATATATTTAATATTACATGTTTTGACCGAAGCAAGAATTGTATACGTGCAGCAGTAGAAGAACGAAAACACCCCTTCAGAGGATGAGATGATAAGGAAGATACTAGATTGTGAGGAAATGAACAGACTAATGCTAAAAATAAAAGATAAAGGAGATTCAGAATACTATTTAACATGGAATAGGTTTCATCAATGGTTAGAAATATGAGGTAGAAGTTGGAAGGTGAAAGAATCAGGTGAGGGGACTTGGAAAGAGACACTATTTGTATTATTGATAGAGGAATGTAAATATTAGAATGATAGATGAGTTGACATATGATGTGATGGTCAGAAACTATTGTACAACACTAGCACTGTTTAAAATAGCATATATGTTATTCTGTTTTTATTTCTGCTTTAAGGCAATTGGAATGCCATGGCCAATTACACTGTATTCAGTATATCTATATATAAACAATAAAAATATATTTTTTAAAAATATCCCAAATCACTCCATATTAGTTATCAACTCTGGGCTGCAAAACTTCAGATAATCACAAAACGATAACAATAGCTTATGGTTTTCTGTATCTCTTTGTTATCATCTAGATTACCTGGATTTTGGGGGCCCAATGGGAGTGCCTTAATTTAGCTTAAACAGAGTAATAGATTTAGTTGACTTCAAGGTAAGTACAAGATCTAGTACTACTAATTTTAAACAATCATTTAATTCTCTTTTTTTATTTATTTTCTGAGTACTTCCTAGATCTTCACTGTTTTTCTGAGCATTTGACAATTAAATCTATTTTCTTGATAAAGCTCTGTTTCTTAAATCAGGGATTGCTTTTTGATCAGATACAGTGCAAACCAGTTCTTCAAATTTCTTCCAACTCCTGCTATCAATACTATTTACTTACGGAAAAAGCACTTCTTGAATGTTATTCCAGATGGCTTTGCCTCCCATTATTATTGCCAGCTGTGTTGTCAGCTCAAGAAGACATCCACCTGGATCACACTAAGCATGAAAGAAGACCAGGGAAGGGGAGGGGGGGAACAAAGTACATTATAACTTGCTCCCACAAAAAATGAAGTTCATAATAGTTTCTTAACTAAATTATGCTAAATTTTATGAAAATATTTTATACTAAAATCTGCTTAACTGGAAGTACATATATATTTGTATTTAGTCAATTTTATCCAACTATTCAGACAATAACTTTCTGTTCAACCTAGCATATTAAACTGAGCACTGAAGAATACTGGCAATCTATTTTTTCAGTTTTAATGTTCAGTAATGAAATTAGCTGTCCTAAAATTACATATCCCAAATCAGAATATAAAAAGAGACAGATTAAAAGATCTCTAACCCACTGTCTTGTTTTCACAAGCCCTAGAAGCTTCTTGGATGAGAAGTGAAACATCTTCAAGGAAAAACAAAGACATTGTTTTTTTGAAAAAGCAACTTTGGGATAATGGTGAGCCATGGTAGAACAGTGGTTAGAATGCAGTACTGCAGGATGCTTCTGCTTCTGCTGGCTGCTGGCTGCCTGCAGTTTGGCAGTTCAAACCTCACCAGGCTCAAGGTTGACTCAGCCTTCCATCCTTCTAAGGTCAGTAAAATGAAGACCCAGATTGTTGGGGGCAATATGCTGATTCTGTACATCACTTAGAGAGGACTGCAAAGCACTGTGAAGCGGTATATAAGTCTAAGTGCTATTGCTATTGTATAACCATGACCTGGAAGACTGAGTATCTCACACACACACTCTACTAACCAAGAATTCTGAGTTTAGCTGTAGCTTCAGTTTCGCATCCCAAAATAGAGCGCACATATGAAAAAGAATAGAAAAGAGATTCCATACCGTACAAGGTATATACAAAAAGAGAAGAAGGTCATAAAACACAAGACATACTCAGAAGAAGTTGGATAAGAAAATACAAAAATGACAACTCTGAAAGCATTTGCTTTCAGGGGGAGCCTGGAACCCTCCCCAGAGTGCATGTCAACCCTGAAGCTGACCTGACTGCAGCCATTTTTACAGTTTCAGTGTTGCCACACTGGAACTGCAGAATGGGGGAGATTTGAGATTGAGGGGATTCTGTAGCCAAAACATTCTCATATCTGGTAGGAGAAAGGCATAGTGATGCTATGCAGTTGTCAGACCACATCGTGATTGGACCATGTGACTTATTGTTTTGAGAAAGAGAAAAAAACTTTTAATTAGGTGAAAACCACAGGAGTCTTTAGAGTCAGTTTTCACCATATCTGTGCCAATATGATATCTCCAATAAAGCTATTATTTGAGGAATTCACCTGCCTTGGAGTTTTGTTTGCTATGGGATTATTATTTGGAAGCCTGACAGCGCATCCCCAGGTGGAAGGTTGGGGACCCCTACCCAATGTGCCTTTATGCTGTAATGGCAGGTTGGAGGGAATCAAATACCTCCCATGGACTAACAGGCCTGGTGAGCAACAGCTGGCTCATCAGTATTAACTGAAGGTGGAGGCCATATTGGGGAGAACGGCTTCTGAAGAACAGCACATGGTGTGGTGGCAGCCACTTGAACAGCGTATGCACAGTGGTATAGAAAGCAAAGGGAACACTACTACATAATATATTTCCCAGGAAAATCATGATAATGGACTTCCGGTTGTTCTTCCGTTGTGTCGGAGCGGAATCTGCAATCATGCACAGTTTCTCTCTGTGCTCGCTTGTTGGAGGGTCCTGATTGGGATCGGAATGACCCTGGAGGGGTGGTGAAGAAAGGGGGGACGGTTGAGGGGAGCCATATCTCCCCTCCCTGACAAGATAAACCCCCTCTAAAGATGTTGCAGTGGTGGTCTAAAATAGCCACCATGAAGATGAAAAGCAGTCCAGGAAACTAAGATTGTGCTGGAGCGGTAAAGTTTTGAATGATGTGTGAACTAGGCAATATACATGGACATTAAGGTACCCCGGAATTAAGAAATAAAGAACTATTTTTGATGAAAGTGTGCAAAAGCGGTGACCAGAGTGAAAAGAAAATTTGAATTTATGAAATTGGTTTTGAACATTGAAATGAATTAATTTGGAGGTGGAAAATTTAGAGGAAAATATCTGATTACAAAAGGCTTGGAAATTAAACTGGATGATTATTGGACTTTTGGCATTAAATAGACTTTCAGTGTATGTCTAGTTTAATGAAAAGAGGTGACATGATAGCAGTATTCCAATATCTAATGGGCTGCCACAAAGAGGAGGTGGTCAGCCTATTCCTCAAAGAACCTGAAGGCAGAATAAGAAGCAATGGATGGAAACTAATGAAGGAGAAAGCCAACCTAGAACTAGGGAGAAATTTCCTGACAGTTAGAGCAATTACTCAGTGGAATGACTTGCCTCTAAAGCAGTGGTGGCTAACTTTTTTGGGCTCCTGTGCCAAAAATTGTGCACATGCTCGTGTATGCATGCTCATGTGCCAGCACCCAGAAGGCAATGTGCACAATCCCCCCGCCACCGCCCCCTTACCTGAACTGCACAGTTGATTTTCAGCTGGTTTGAGGCAGGGATGGGATCCGACCGGTATAACTACTGGTTCTGTTGCTCTGCATTGCGTGTGCATGCATGAGTCGAACGAGTGCAATTTACGACCTTCTGAGCTGCCCGGACAGCTGAGCAGCACTGTGTGAGGGTGTGCAGCAGTTGGAAAACCCCTTTTTCCTGCTTTTTCAACTGCAGTTGTGCCACACAAAGCAGCTGATGTTGAAAAAGCAGGAAATAAAGGACAGGTAAGAGCCTGGGTGGGTGGGTGGGCCAAAACAGCAGCACACACAGAACCGGCCCTATGTCTGCTGCTGTTCAGAGCAACCGGTTCTACAGAGGTAGACAGAACTGGTAGAATCCCACCTCTGGTTTGAGGCCTTTTTTGGCCTCCCAGAGGCTTGAAAAAAGCCTCTGCAAGCTTTGCAAGCTGAACATAGGCCCCTTTCATCATTTCTGGTATTATAGGAAGTGACTAAATGGGCCTATTATTCGACCTGCAAAGCCCTCAGAGGCTTTTTTCAAGCCTCTGGGAGGCCAAAAAAGGCCTCAAACCAGCCAAAAAATCAGCTGTGAAGCTTGCACATGAGCAGTGAGGTAAGTTTGCCTGAGGCTCGCATGCTGGTATAAATGGCTCTGCGTGCCACCTGTGGCACACATGCCATAGGTTTGCCATCACGGCTCTTGGCAAGTTTAAGACTTGTGGACTTCAACTCCCAGAATTCCTGAGCTAACATGACTGGAGGAGGAATTCTGGGAGTTGAAGTCCACAAGTCTTAAAGCTGTCGGGTTTGAAGACCCCTGCTCTAGAAGTTGTGGGAGCTCTAAAAGTGGAGGATTTTAAGAAGAAATTGTACAACCACTTGTCTGAAATGGTATAGGGTTTCATGCTTGAGCAAGGGATTGAACTAGAAGACTTCCAAAGTGCCTTCCAACTCTGTTATTCTGTTATTTTGTTAAATTCTGTATTTCTGCCTAACTCTCCCACCTTATTTGTCTACAGCTGCCAAGTCCATCTGAACTCAGAGAAGTCACAGTTTTTGCCCAGTTCCAAAAAGGTGAAGAGGAAAAAAGTGCAATCAGCTTAATAGTTAGTTACCAGTTGAAATATACCTATAAAACAAGATTTATTTATTCATACCTCCTCATTTCTGTATTTTCCCATCCAATAAACTGGTTCACCAGGGAAACCTATAAATTTACCCTTAAAGAAAGCAACGTAGAAACATGAAGAATAATAGTTGACAAATTTAAATAAAAACATTTTCGTAGTTAGGCTATTTTCATAATCAGTCTGTGTCCTTGGTAATTCTGCAGTTTAAAAGCAAAGGAGAGAGATATTGTTAATCTAAGAGCAATTTTGGGGCAAAAATATTGTGTTATATATAGCTTAAATAACATTATTTGGGCTATTCAAACATATGTTACTATTAACTATATTGTTACTATGTTACTACCTGTTCTTCTTTTATCATGTGATCAACTGATGTTATACATGTGTATTTGTCAACTTGCGAAGCATCCCTGACCTGCTCTTGAGTTGCTGTAGGCAAGGCAGATGGGGAATCAAACCTCGCAGCTGCATCAAAGAACTTGCATTTCAGTCAAAACAAAGCACATTCCAGCTGGCAACATCAAGGTCATCTGCACGGAAACCTACAGTGGCCGGAGGGAGTGATTTCTACAACCCACGAAATTGCTTCATTGGGGAAGGTGACTGATGACACATCTTGGGGGGAAATGTGCGAATTAAGTGAGGTCAAATTGGCTTGACTTGGTCCATGCCAACATGAAGCTCCCAATAAATAACTGGATTTCTTTTGAAGCTTGGCCTGAGGCTCATGAGGTTCGGTCAGAACCCTGATGGCATTCTGGCTAGCATCGTTTAGCATAGGCGTTCTACTAAGAGCCATGGTGGCACATGCAGAACTGCATGCTAACTCCACCCACAACCAGAAGTTTGATCCTGACTGGCTGAGAGTGACTCAACCTTCCATCCTCTTGAGATTGATAAAATGAGGACTCAGACTGTTGGGGGTAATATGCTGACTCTGTAAACCACTTAGAACAGGGCTGTCAAACTCAATTTCATTGAGGGCTGCATCAGGGTTGTGTTTGACCTCGGGTGGGTGTGGGGCTATCTCAACATCACTCATGTCGGTGGTATCTGTGGTGGCCTGAGTGCTCTGCCAGCAAAACTATGCAACCCTCCTGAGCTCTGTTCGCTGGCAGAGGGTTGTAGGAGGCCATTGCAGCTGAAAATGGATTTCTCTGGCAGAGGCACTGCAGGCCTGTCCTTTGCTGTTCCCAGGGCGGCCCCATAGGCCAGATCTGAGCACCCTGTGGGCCTCATCCAGCCTGTAGGCCTTGAATTGGACACCCCTGACTTAGAGAGTGCTATAAAGGCCTATGAAGTGGTATATAAGTCTAAGTGCTGTTGCTATTGATGCACACTTCAAAGATTCCAAAGAAGACTTTTAGACCAGGCACAAAGATGAAGACAGCACACTCAGATATTCACAAAAGCAACTCAACCTTTTTTAGATTTCTTCATTTGCCTGGAAAATATTGCTGCTGCTTTAAGGAATTTACTTTTCAATGTTGGAAGCTATTTTTGACAGGTTACTGGTATTGCTTAATACATTTACTCTTGATACCGTATTGAATGTTATTATAACCTTACCAAAGTCAGTAACCATGATTGCTACTTTTTCATAGATAATGTTCAGAATCATAATAATGATGAAGTTGAGCACTGAAGCAGATACTGAAGTTGCTAATTGTGGAGTCAGGTACTTTTGTATTGTGTTTGCTCCATTGATGTGTCTTGGCAATGTTGCAGAAAATACTAGGAAAACTGAAAGTCTGTAAACAATTATACCAACAACAGATGAAAGAATGAGCAGAATCTAAAAGGAAAAGACATAAGATACATTCTTACTTTCTTACATACTTTCCTAAACATAACAACTACCTTAATAAGCATATCCATTTTTAAAAATTTCATTAAGAGACTCCCAATTAAATTCTAGAAATTATATTTCTGTCTAGAATTCACTTCTTAAACTGCAAGAAAAAAAATCATTTTAGTACCCTGAACCTGTTGTTTTTAGCTTAGTGAGGACTACATTATAGACACACAAAATTATTTCCCATCCATTGAACACTATGAGTCATTGGGTGTAGGTAGCATCATGTCACCACAGACTTATCCAAATCTATTAAACAACAGCCAAAAGTTACCCCAGGAAATGATAACCTGAAACATAACCATTGTATATGCTCTATTCTCTGTGGTCCAAAATTTGTCTTCCTACAGAGGTTGGGGATGCTCCAACAATGAAGGTTGTTAAGAAGAGATTAAGAAGAGATTAGATACCTCTTTGTCTGAAATGATATAGGGTTTCTGCTTGAGCAGGGGATTGGATTGGAAGATTTCTAATCCAAGGTTCCTTACAACTCTGTTATTCTATTATTGGGTTATGCTGTTACCCTTTTTTCTATTTTTTTTCTTTTTGAAAGTCATTTTTCAACTAAGGCTCCCCCCCCCCCCATTTGAAGCTGTTTTCTTAGGCATTCCACAATATTTTTCATGCTCAGCTTACATTATCTTACTTTTTAATTGAAGCAGAAATATGGAAGATTAAAAACTATTTAACTGAAATGAACAGGCAGAAAAGAGGTATTAATCTGTAACAAGATACTCTGTGTGCCTTCAAGTCAATGATTCCTGCCATCTGCCTGGAAAGGTCTTTGAAGTTTTTTCTTGGCAAGATTTTTGAAAGTGGCTTAAAACAGTTTAGCATTTTTTGATACTGAACCATAAAAATTGAGCAACAAATAAATGAGAGAAGGAAATGGAGAAAAAAAGGAATATGATTTAGCTTTAAAATCATTCACTTTGCATTCACTGCATGCAATAATGAGCTTAATAATTTAAAAATTTTTTTGAAGAAAACACTAAAGTTTAAAACAGAGACTTCTAAGTACAATATTTTTTTCCTGAGAACACATTGGAAGAGCAAATAACTTTTTTGCAAAAGCATAACATCTGTTTATTCACTTACAAACACAAACACAACTAAATCAGCTAATCCAAAGATTGCTGTACTGTATTTCTAAAGTATCAACTGTATGATGCAGTTGGAATTAACTTTCCTTTTTCTGTTATTATGAGGTGAAAACTGAGTATTTTGCACCAAAGACGTAGCATTATGTTTAAATCCAGGTGATTGTAGTATGTAAATAGCAGTAACATGCTCTTTATTGTACATATGTGATATGTTTAACTTCATAAAATCTTTTCCTGTCATGTGTCTTATGGCCCACGTTATGCATAAAATTAAGCTAAAAACTCTGATGTACAACTGTAGTGTGTATTAGAGATGGAGATCCTTTGAGAACTCTATGCAACTAAGTGACAATAAAGTTGTTGTAAGCCTAAATGTATCAAGAGGAAGAAAGAAATAAGAAATAAGAAGAAAATGAAAAGAAAATAATAAGAAAAACAAAAACAAAAGGAAACAGAGGTCCAACAAAAAGGTAGCAGACTGCCAGTAAGGGAAAAAGAGACAAACTGTGCAGGTATATGTATGGGCATTTAAGTATGCTTATATGTACATATATGAATATGTATATGTATGTGTGTTAGGTGTATGCCTTTTGGTATATTCAGGTAGTCCTTGACCTAGAACAGTTCATTTCATGACCATTCGAAGTTACAATGGCACTGAAAAAACCCACTTATGATCATTGCAGCATCACATGAATAAAATTTGGATGCTTGACAATTGACATTCATGACAGTTGCAGTGTCTGAGAGTCATGTGATATCCTTTTGTGACCTTCTGACAAGCAAAGTCAATGGGGAGATCAGATTCACTTAACAACCATGTTACTAATTTAACAACTGTGGCAAGAAAAGTTGTAAAATGGGGCAAAACTCACTTAACAAATTTCTCATTTAACAACATAAATTTTGGGCTCAATTGTCATAAGTTGAGGACTACGTGTGTGTGTGTGTGTGTGTGTGTGTGTGTGTGTGTATACACATGTAATTCTCAACTTATAACAATTGATACACTTAGATACACACACACACATATACTAGATACTAGATTGTTTATACTACAGTAGATTGTTTATGTTGGCCTTCTACATGGAGTGCTGTGTTTCAAAGCAAATCTACTCCAATCTGTAAAAAGAAACAATTATACCATTGCAGTAATTACCATTTAAATACAGATCACATATTTTTGCTCTTTCAAGGAACGGTCATAGCAGAAATTAATGCTTTCTAAATAGTATGAACCAAATAATTTTACCCAGAATAAGACAGCACTTGTACAGAAGATGATCCGTACATACTTTCCACAGGTTGTATAAGGAACCTGCTCTTCTTGCTGTATAAACAAAGTCAATTGAAACAGGATTATTAGGATACGTATGTAAGAACATGTAATCGTTCTTTCATTCTAGTTTATTTCTAAACTAAAAATTTCAACCCTGTCTAGTTGTTTCTTCTTTGTACCTCATTAATTGATGGAAACAGTTTTCATTAACAGCAATTTTTTATTTCCAAACATTTATTTCATTTATACATTAATTTATTATTATTTTTATTAAAATATAATAGCAAATATAATTTTTGAAGAATTTTTTTTCATATACAACTCCAGCAATTAAACAATAAGAAAAATGCAATGTTCTAATACCCTTTATTTTGGCATACACCATCATTAGCAAAATGAAATTGAATTGGGTGGGATCCTACCGGTTCAGTTTGGTTCTATAGAACCAGTAGCTCTGAAGAGTAGCTGACACTGAACTGGTTTGCTGGGATGAGGTTTTGATCTGTTGTTTGGCCCTCCTGCCCGCCTGGGCTCTAGACTATCCTTTAGTGGCTGCGTTTTCCTCCTCAGCTGCTTTGCGCAACACAGCTGTGTGCCGCTTGTCAGTTGGAGAAGGTAAATGCTTCCCAGAACCAGTAGCACACACATGCGTGCAGCGCACGTTTGACGCACATGTGTGTGCTCCCTGAATCCTGTTATGCTGGTCAGATCCTACCCATGAATTGAAAACAATAATAATTTGCATATGACAGATACCCAAAATGATATTTGTGTTCAGGATATTTTTGCTATAATTAAGAAATTAAGAAAAACAAAAAGTTTTTATAGCTTTAACAGAGAAAGAGAGAAAGAGAGGAAAAAGGAGAAATTGAGTTGATACATTTTACCTAAGTTTTTAAAGCTGGAGATTGAAATACAGGTAGTCCTTAATTAGCAACTGCCCCATTGAGCAACCATTTGCAATTACCATCAACCAATTGATGGTAATAAACAATAGTAAAAATAGTTTATGGCCAATATGTGCACTTATGCCCAAGTTTCTGCACCTGACAACCAAATCAGAATGAGAGTAAACTGGCATTGCTGCAAGGGAGATATTAAACTAAATGAAACAGCAGCAATTAGAGATCTCCATGGTCTCTTTGCCCCTTTCCCTCCTATGTGAGTTACTTAGTAAAAGTCAGAAGAGCCCATTTTTATTTCAAATATTATCACCCCTACTGTGTATTCTGTGGTCAAAGCAGGATACCATGCCCATAGTAGCAGTGTTACCATGGGAACTTTGCCACCAAAAGCCTATGACCAAGGAAAACCCCAAACAAGAAGTTTATTGCTATGCAGCCTTGCATAACCACGTGCCACTTTAACTGATATAGACTGAAAAAATGTAAACGGCGCACAGTTCATACAAGAAGCAAGTGGCCTTCTGTTCCATTGCCCATGTAATTTTAAAGAACATTTTAGACAAGTCAATCTAAAGACTACACACCTGCTGCCCCTTTAATTGACATGTTTACATTGCAGGTCAATTGACAAAGAGATGCTGTTTCTATCACCACCGTTTACCTATTTACATAGGTAAAAGAGAAACAATGTCATCATCCACTAGACTAGACTGTGGTAGGAGTCAAGAGAAGAAGTTTTCTAAGCTGCCTTTTGCTCAGCATTATTGAAACTTAATAATCCCTCTGTTGCAATGTTTGTATATTGTATGACTATACACTTGCAGCCATGGTAATTAGAAAAGAAGAACTGAGTGAATTTATTCAAACTATCTTTTTTAATTAAAATGTTTAAAACTGTAAATACAATTACCTGTGTAATTTCATTCACTATTACATGGTGGCATTTTGCCTCATACTCTGGACGTATTTGTTCCTCTTGCTCTAAGAACTCAACCATGTCCCATTCATATTCTAATTCAGCCTGGCGTCGTTTCCAAAACTCCAAAAACAAGCTAACTAATCAAAGAATAAGTCAAGAGAAACAATCAGTACATATTGTATGAGTGAAAGTCAAATTGTTGCCACTTGGAACAGTTCCGTGCCATTTTATGTACTTCTTCCCACTCTTTTTTTAAAAAAGATTTTTTTAAAAACATGTTCAAGTACATCTTCCCTAGCTTGTGAACTCAATTTCTTGTAGCTTATTTTTTGAAGAGAGAAAGATGAACTAGCAATTTGATTGTAACAAGGCTTTTTCTATCAAGGATATATTGCATCTGGATTGAGGCAATTCCAGAATGGAATAGCTGGGGAATTTTAGGAGTTGAAGTCTTAACAAGGTTGGACATCTTGTTCTAGGCATATTCCCTTTTTCATAGGAAGAGTTGTAAGTTCAGGGAAAAGATTGTTACAGGATTCAGATCTGTTTTCTTCCCTCTCTTTTCAGGAGTGCCATGGAGAGCTAACCAGGGAAATTGAGAAGCTTTTAGGCTGATTAATTTCTATGTACACAGCTGTGCAGGAGAATGCTCCTAGTTTTCCTTTTGCATGCCAAGTCCTTAGGTTTGCTGATTTGCTGACATTTGTCTATTGTACAAATTCAAATATTATACCAATTCTGCAATAATGATTAAGGTGTCTCATAAACATAAATGACACCTTGTCCCATTTTACTGAATTAACCACCTCAGTATGCAAAACAAAAAAGTTAGCTTACCCCAAATCCCCATAAACACTGCAAACACTAATGTGCCAAAGCTGTCAAATATACAAAGTTTCTGAAAAACATGAAGGGAAAATGGCTTAACATATAATACAGGATTCTTTAACACTAGCTCTTCTGCTGTCATTGAAGATTTTATCATTTGGTTGTCATGTGCATATATTTTTATTACATGTTATTACATTATTCATTCAATCATTGCTTCACTGCACTATATACACAGTGACTGACAATGGTCTTCATTACGGAAATGGCTGAATCTCCTCCTGGGGCCCCAGCTGATAGCTGACAGCCCTGCCCATCTGTTTGCTTGAGGAAAATATGTATGCCAGGTAGCCTAAAAGGGTGTGCTGTTTGTTGTTGTATATACAATTGTATCAAAAGATAACATGAATCACTAAAAATAATGCCACAGATCGGCTTTTTAAACTGTTGCATTCTTATCATGCAAACAGATCAGGGGTGGGATCCGACTGGTGCAACTACCGGTTCAGTGACTTACGTTTTGCACGTGCATGTGAAACGTTATCAGCTTGCTGCCTGGATAGCTGAGCAGCGCTGTGCGCAGGTGTGCAATGTTTGAAAAAGCTGCAGCTGTGCTGCACAAAGCAGCTGAGGTTGAAAAAGCAAGAAATAAAGGTCAGGTAAGAGCCCGGGTAGGTGGGTGGACCAAAACAGCAGCAGACACAGAACCAGTTCTGTGTCTGCTGCTCTTCAGAGATACCGGTTCTACAGAGCTGGACAAAACTGATAGAATCCCACCCCTGAAACAGATGGTCTTCTAGTAGAACATAAATTATATAATAAGCTTATCATATGGAAAGATGGTTTTTGTGGATTTCACTATTTTAATCTGCCAATTTCTGGTGTAAATTTTTTGTATGATAAAATCATAATATTGTAATATGACCCTTTAAAGTTTAAAAGAAGAAAAGGATTATTATGTTCCTTGAGAACAGACCCACAGTATAGGTCAACTGTATTGTGAATAGGAATGTCAATGTAAACTTTTCAAACTGGAAAACCCAACTTTCCTTAGATACCAGTATTCATTCAACCCTGGAATCATTAACTGACTGACACCAAACACTCTCTCACATCAAATAACTTTGCAGGATTGATGTGAGGATAAAATGGGGAGATCCCCATCTTAGTGTCTTGGAGGTAAAATGAAACCCAAATAATCTTTTAATAACTTCAGTCATAAAAATCAGATTTATATATTTGAGCAAATGACAAAAAAAAAGGAAATGTGCTAAAGAAAAATGATTTGCAAAAATATATATGGTATGAAGATGCACTAAAATACTTCTATTCAGGGAAAATACATATAAAATATTAGAATTTAATACTATTTCCTACTCTTTTTAAAATTGCAAACTTATGTTCAATGCCTACAGCAAATTTAGGATTGGGAAATGGGAAATTGAATGAAATTAAGTTGACATTTCCCTTACAAGAGGAGTGTTTGCTTTATTAAGATGATTTCATGAAGCCCAATCTGTTCAGCTGTACACAGATAACATAATCAGAGTTGGAAGGGACCTTGTAGGTCATCTAGTCTAGGGGTCTCCAACCTTGGCTACTTTAAGACTTGTGGACTTCAACTCCCAGAGTTCTGGAAGTTGAAGTCCACAAATCTTAAAGTGGCCAAGGTTGGAGACCCCTGATCTAGTCCAACCCCCCCCACCCACCCAAACGGGAGACCTTACACCATTTCTGACAAATGGCATTCCAATCTCTCATTCCAATTCTCAAGTAATGACACTCCACAACTTCCAAGGGCAAGCTGTTCCATTGCTTGATTGTTCTCACTGTCAGAAAGTTTATCCTTATTTCCAGGTTAAATCTGTTCTTATTCAGTTTCCATCCATTATTCCTTGTCCCCTCAAATATTGGAACACTGCTATCATGTCTCCCTGGTTCTTCTCTTCACTAGAGTAGCCATGCCCAGTTCCTGTAACCGTTCATATGTTTTAGTCTCCAGTCCCCTAATCATCCTTGTTGCTTTTCTCTGTACTTTTTCTAGAGTCTCAAACATCTTTTTTATAATGTCGTGTCCAAAACTGGATGCAGTACTCTAGGCGTGGTCTTACTAAGTCTTTATAGAGTGGTATTAGTACCTCACTTGATCTCAATTGCATCCCTCTGTTAATGCAACTTAGGATTGCCTCAGCTTTTTTGGCTGCTGCTGCACACTGCTGGCTCATGTTTAACTGTTTGTCCACTAAGACTCCAAGATTCCTCTCACAATTTCTACTATTGAACCTGGTTTCATCCAGTCTATATGTGTACTTTTGGTTTTTCTTGCCTAAGTGTAGGACTTTACTTTTCTCTACACTGAATTTCATTTTGTTAGATATGGCCCAGTGTTCTAGTCTGTCAAGATCCATCTGAATCTTGAGCGTATCTTCTTGGGTGTTAGCTATTCCTGCCAGCTTAGTATCATCTGCAAATTTGGTAAATTCCCTTGCTATTCTCTCATCTAAGTCATTAATGAAGATATTGAGATATTCAATATCTTCATTAACGACTTAGATGAGGGTGTACTGGGCCTAAAACAGAACCTTGTGGCACCCCACTGTTTACTTCCCTCCATGTAGACTTACACCCATTAAGGACTACTCACTGAGTACGGTTTGTGAGCCAGTTGCAAGTCCATCTAGTGGTGGTGCTATCTATTCCACTTTTTGCTAGCTTACCAAGAAGTAGGTTGTGGTCTATTTTATCAAATGCTTTGTTGGAATCTAAATATATTATGTCCACAGAATTTTGCTGGTCTACTAATTTAGTCATTATGTTGAAGAATGAAATAAAATTGGTTTGGCATGATCTCTTTTTAACAAACCTGTGCTGACTGCTATTATTTTACTTGTTTCTAGATGTTGGCAGATCTCTATTAAATGCTTGGTTTTGTTCGACAGCAAGGTTGATAATCTTACCTCCACAAACATCTATGTTACATGCACTGGTATCCTTATTAATTTTAGATTGCTGGGGACAGAAATGTTCTGTATCCATTAATTCTCTGGCCCCACTGTTCAGTTTAAATGTTTATCCAGAAAATCTGTGAATTTAATGCCAAGTAACTCAGTCCCTTTCTTTGATGGATGCAAACCATCTCTTTTGTATAGCTTTTCATTGGACTAGCTGCAGACATCATGACTAATAAAACCAATAAAACTTCCCTTTTACACCACTCCTTTAGCCACACATTAAACTCTGCTATATGTTGGCCTTTCCCTTTTTCTTCCTTGTATACTGGTAGAACCTCTGAAAAGATAAGCCTACAGCCCATACTACTAAGTTTATACCCCAAGCTCTGGAAGTCTTTCTGCACAGAAAGTACATCTTTTTGGGACAGATCATTGTGTATAGAAGCTTACTTCACTTGTACATTTACAGAATCTCTCAGGTGGTTATGACTTCTATTTGGATTAATTTTTTAAAAAACTATGTACTAAGGGTTGTGCTGATTAGTTACACTTCTTATGTTTATTACTGATCTCATATTCTTCCTTCTCCACATACTTACGGTTTATTTCAAAACAGCATTTTATGTCACAGTAATATTTTTTTAATGCTGAAGGAAAAATACCTTGGAAGAGTCACATGTGATGTTGAGATTCCAGTATGTGCATTCTTCATCACATTGTGGACACATAATAATCTTACCTCCTATGTTTGGATCACATACTTCTTGACTGAAAGAATGAATAAATTCATCTTACACATTATGAAACTCAATGGATGGACTGCTAAATTCATAGTTTTCATTGATCACTACTGTTCTGATCATCTTCCACTTAATAAGTACCGTGGTCCTACCATTGTAGTTACACTGTCCCCTTTTTCGATATGCAAGACACAAGCAAACTATGTGATAAGTGAGTAGCATTGATGATGAGGTCTTTCCCCACCCATAATTTTCTTTTTGTGAATCATCTGTTCAAGAAGTCTCTTCCAATTCAGTTCAATGATGGTTCGCCTTGAACTGTGCACTAGAAAAACATAATTTCGATAGCTTTTACACAGCTGTCCTAGGACCTCTTGCCAAAAATAATTCCATTTATTTTGATGTTCCTGATATTCCTTTATTCTGTTTTGTTTTCTTCCTGATATTATTTAATTTTATTTATTTTTAATCACATGGTTTATTCATTCACAGCAGAATGCTTTCTAATTTTAATTAGGAGTTGATATTTCTGTATATTCTTCTGGCAACACAAGATAAAATGCTTAATATCTCAAAATGATATTGATAAATATAATGACACAAAATATTCTGAGGAATAGAGAAGTTTAGTACATTTGTCATAGATGGTATTTCCCCCCCAGAATGTATATTATCATTCAGTGCAGATTCCTCATTCTCAGCATATTTTAGTAGTTTTTCGCTGAATAAATAGTAAAAAGATACCATATACCTTTAAATTTTTAAAAGAACACATAAAACTGAAATAATAAATTGACTTAGATTAAGCTAGCATAAATATTGAGTGATACAATCTTATGCATGCCTACTCAGGCACAACCAATAAAAATTTGGTTGTCCAGGTTCCAGTTTGATGTCACAGCAAGATCGGACATGAGGAGTGGGGCTCCATGAACTCACGCCAAATCCTCCTCATTGGAGGCCCCCCCAAGGGGCTAAAGTCACTCTGTAGGGTTGATGAAGAAAGAAGGGGGAACCCTGCAGGTTGTGCAGAGTGGCAGCTCTCCAGCTAGACCCAGGGATTACCTCCCATCCAACAACAAAGAGGAGAGGCAGCCATTATTGCTGTCATGAAGCTGGGGCAGCCGAAGAAACAAAGAATGTGCTGAAGTAGTGTAGATGAACAGTGATTGGAAATAGGTGAGGTTATTCTTTTTTTACCTAGAACCTAAGCCCCCCAAAAATACACCCTAGGAAAGTGACTTTGAAATGTTTGTCAAAGTGGCGAATAATTACAGATAGAAAAATTACAGACCTGAAAGAAAAGGAAATAAAGGAAGAATGCAAAATCTTTAAAATATAGAGAATTGGATTTTTAAACTTTATTGGCAATATTTTGGTAAGGCATTTTAAAATGCTGGAATCATTTGTCTCTATATTGACTATTTGCAAAAATCTGAAATTAATATTTGTCAGATTTTGTGCAACATTGAAATTTAAGCTGAAGGCACCATCTACTGGTGAATGGAATATATATCAAATTCCTACAACCTTAGGAAAGTACTGATAAGATAAAGGGGAAATAAATAACACCTGGTAGCTGTGCTACCTACTGTTCTATATTTGCTTACTTCATGGCTATTGGAGTTTTAACTGTGAGACTATGGAAGACATCTAAAGAAAGTGACTTTTAAATGCCAGGATCTATGACTGAACTTACAGAGTGAACTTAAGGAGATATTTGGAAATCTTCCTGGATTATCTAAATGGAACTACTTGAGTAACTGTGGGACACAAAGAACTATAACTATTGCATTCCCCTGAGGAGCAATGCCGGGATTGAGCAAACAGTTTCTAAGCTGGCTTTCTGAGGTCATAGACAATTGATACTTTGGGGCAGTGAAAGACTACTGACAGTCTATTGAGCAATATTTGGACCTACCAAAATAAGACAAGATGTTTCATCGGGGGAGATGAGTGGATTTCAAAAGAAATAGTGTTAATGCTAAAAAGTACCTATGATATGTTGATAAAGAACCACAGGGAGATAAAAGACTTAATGCATGACATTATGGGGAAATCAAAAAATGTCCAACGGGATAATGAATAAAGATAATAAAACACAGGAAATAGAGAAGATAATAGAAAGACCAGAAAAAAAGATAGAACAGATAAATCAACACATAAAGGAAGAGAAGAAAGAAAAGGCAATAAAGACTTATGAAGCAAATCAGGCACAATATATATTAAGAGATCAAAAAATGGAATTGGATAAAAAGAAATATATTTTTGAAGAGAAGATGGGAGCTTAGGCAGATCCTCTGTAGGTATGGCAGCAAAAGATAGTAGAGATAGAAGTATTTGGGTTAAATAGGAAATATGTAGACAAAGACCCAAGGGAGGAGTTTGGGAGGCAAGTCAAAAAACGAATAAGAATTGAAATACTAAAGTGAACAAGAGATGATAGTTAGAATATAAGATTGTTTAATATAAGATTGGCTTTATTGAGAGCTAGAATAGAGGTAGAAACAAGATCAAGGGGGAATATTATTATACTTATTTTTATATAATATATTAAAAGTAATACAGTAACTAGTTGTAAAGATTAGATGTTGAAAGATGGTATCGCTATGTACATTTAAATAATATTGTGATTGTTATTGAAATGGCACACAAAACACTGAACAACTAAACAATAAAGAAACACACTCCAATACAAATATGTATAATAACACCATAATTACATAAGTATGACTAATGTAACATATATTAACATTATTATTTGTATTTAAATTAAACCCAGATGCCTCACTGTTCATATAATGATATTGATGCATATTCAAAAATAAAAAAAAAATTACAAAAAAAACCCCAAATCTGCTTGTCCAGATCATCTAGCTAAAAGTGATTAGAGTAGGATTAAAAATCTGTAGATATGAGGGAGGGGATAGTTTTGTTGAAAGTATGTAGTGATGTCCCTGATATGTTGGCCAAAATTCTACAAGTCTCTTCCCTGTCTCTGCTGAGGTTACCTCTTCAAATGGGGAATTCCAGTGGCAAAGAAAGGGCAGTATCTCTCTTCTTCCGAAATCCTATTTTCCCCATTAAGCCCTAATTTAAGACACCCTGTAGATACTTTACACAATTTCATTCCTATGGAAAACAATTCCAAGATCCACCAAAGAAGAAAAGAGAATATGGTTCTGCTACATCCTTACTGTTTTGACCATGGAATTCAGTATGTATTTATTATTCTCTGAGATGTATGTGTAGAATTTGCAGCCTATATGAACTAACAAGAATAAATTATTATATGAGAATGGTCAGGTCTAATTAGGAGCTAAGATCTTTATGCATGACTATAAATAACACAAGAAACATGAATCATAAGGTTACCTCCAAGTGCAGTTATCCTTTGTGAAATATCCATATAAAAAACATCCAACACCAACTATTGCTGCCAGAAGTAACATCCGGGTATAGAATCCCAGCCAGGCAAAATAGATCCCAATTTTCTCACCGTAATATTTCCTATGGACACAACAACATCCTTTGAATATATAGATGTGTATTTCCTTTATTAACAAAACCAGCTTCTTATATATTTAAGAAGAAAGCATTATAATGCACTCCTGTGCTACACTGATTTCTGTGTTTAAGAATGAGTCCAGGATCACTCAAAAGTAATTAAGGTTATTTTTTTTTAAATAGCAAGGCCTTAATTATTTTAAGTTACAATAACTAAATATGACATTAACAAATATTAAAAGACAATCTCTGTATGGACAAATTGAAAGAAATGATAATTTCCAGAAGGTTATAGAGAGATTTAATGAATGGTGCTGTTGAAAACTAAAGTTTATATTTCCTTTCCTTTCCCTTACGCCTTAACTTCTTTTGCTTACTACTTTTTTCTTTTTTCTATGTTGTGCATAACATATAGTTCCCCCTAATGGGAATAGCATAATGGGTTGTATGCATGTATGCATTCTCATTAAACAGATGTTAAAATAATGGAAGCTTGCTCAAAAGGAATAGCATCCTAGATGACCAGCTGTTTTCTATCTTGCAATTCTTCTGAATCTAATTAAGCTATTTCAAAACTGATTGTGTGACTTTTGTCTTATTTACAGTGGGAGACAAACGTGCCAGGGGTCCCCAACCTCAGGATGAGGCCCACCTCTGGACCTTGAGCCACTCAAAACCAGGCCATGGAAGTGGCAGGTGAATGCATGGATGTGCATGTGCATCCCCACTTGCATAAACGGAGCTATGTGCATGTGCATTCCTCCTGCTCATGTGGAACCACCCCCCTTCCCCTCCCCGTCACTGGTCCGCAAAACCAAAAAGGTTGCAGAACTCTGCTCTATGCCATGAGAGAAAGAAAAAAAAAATCCTGATATGGAATCTAAGAGGAAAGAAAGACAAATCAGTCTTTACTACTACATCTTGTTCAATGTTGAATTCATGAGCAACATCAGCACCAGATGATTTTCTTTGTTGTCTGGTTACCTCCAACAAACTTCCAGACTGTTTTATGAATATTTGGGGTCTTTTTGAGTAAAAGTATTTGGCTATAGCAATAGCACTTAGGTTTATATACTAGTTCAGTGATTTACAGCACTCTTTGACTGGTTTATAATGTCAGCATATTGCCCCTAACAGTCTGGGTCCTCGTTTTATTGACCTTGGGAAGATGGAAGGCTGAGTCAATCTTGAGCCAGTCAGGATCGAATTCCTGGCTGTGGGCAGCATTATCCTACAATACTGCCTTCTAACCACTGTGCCATTGTGCTCTAGGCTCTACTTTAACTTACAGTATCTCACGGAAGTTAGTTCACCCTCTCACATTTTGTAAATATTTAAGTATATCTTTTCATGTGACAACACTGAAGAAATGACGCTTGACTACAATGTAAAGTAGTGAGTATACAGCTTGTATAACAGTGTACATGTGCTGTCCCCTCAAAATAACACAACATGCTGCCATTAATGTCTAAACTGCTGGCAACAAAAGTAAATACACCCCTAAGTGATAATGTCCAAATGGTGCCCAAAGTGCTCAATATTTTGTGTGGTCACCATTATTTTCCAGCACTGCCTTAACCCTCTTGGGCACAGAGATCACCAGATCTTAACAGGTTGCCACTGGAGTCCTCTTCCACTCCTCCATGACAATGTCACAATGTCCACCTTCTGTTTCAGGATGCCTCACAGATGCTATGGAGTTTAGGTGTGAAGACATGCTTGGCCTGTCTATGACCTTTACCCTCAGCTTCTTTAGCAAGGCAGTAGTCATTCTGGAGGTGTGTTTGGGGTCGTTATCATGTTGGAATGCTGCCCTGCAACCCAGTCTCCAAAGGGAGGGGATCATGCTCTGCTTCAGTATGTCACAATACCTGTTGGCATTCATGATTCTCTCAATGAACTGTAGCTCCCCAGTGCTGGCAGCACTCATGCATCCCCGGAACATGACATTCCTACCACCAGGCTTGACTGTAGGCAAGACACACTTGTCTTTGTACTCCTCATCTGGTGGCTGCCACACATACTTGACACCATTTGAATCAAATAAGTTTATCTTGGTTTCAGCAGACCACAGAACATGATTCCAGAAAGCCATGTCCTTAGTCTGCTTGTCTGCAGCAAGCTGTTTGTGGGCTTTCTTGTGCATCATCTTTAGAAGAGCTTCCTTCTGGGATGACAACCCTGCAGACCAATTTGATGCAGTGTGTGGCATATGGTATGAACACTGACAGGGTGACTCCCCACCCCTTCAACCTCTGCAGCAATGCTGGAAGCACTCATACATCTATTTCCCAAAGCCAACCTCTGGATATGATGCTGCGCCCAGGCACTCAACTTCCTTGGTCGACCATGTCAAGGCCTGTTCTGAATGGAACCTGTCCTGTTAAACTGCTGTATGCTCTTTGCCACTGTGCTACAGCTCAGTTTTAGGGTCTTGGCAATCTTCTTATAACCTAGGCTATCTTTATGTAGAGCAACAATTGGTTTTTTCAGATCATCAGAGAGTTTATTGCCATGAGGTGCCATGTTGAACTTCCAGTGACTAGTATGAGAGAGTGAGAGCAATAACACCAAATTTAACACACCTGTTCCCATTTCACTCCTGAGACCTTGTAACACTAATGAGTCCCATTACATCAGGGAAGGAAAATGGCTACTTGGGCCCCATTTGGACATTATCACTTAGGGGTGTACCCACTTTTGTTATCAGTAGTTTAGACATTAATGGTTGTGTGTTGCGTTATTTTGAAGGGATAGCACATTTATACTGTTATACAAGCTGTATACTCACTACATTGTAGCCAAGTGTCATTTATTCAGTGTTGTCACATGAAAATATATACTTATATATATAAGTCTGTGTGGTTTTCATTTCTTTCCATTCAGTCCCTTGGAAAAGCAATTCTCTATTTAATAAACTGTGATATACAGGAATTACTTGAAATAATAACTCTCACATTTATTTTATCACTGGGATAATCTTTTCACATCACACATTGTGAATTTCAGTCTGGAAGTGCTGTAAGACTCTCATAATTGCAGTTCCAATTGTGAATAATCAGGTACTGTATCCACCACTATGAACTTTATTTTTCCAAGAACTCTTCAAGAACCCAACATTCATTATTTATGAAGATATAATATGATTCATATGATTTTTTTTCTGTAACTTATGTTCTATAGTCATAGGCAGTCCTTGCTTAACAACTATCCTGTTTAGTGACCATTTGATGTTATAAATGCTAAAAATATAACTTTAGGACTGCTTCTTCTATTTAGAACTTATACAGCATCCTATAGTCATGCTATTTGCATGTTTCACAAACAGAGTAAATGGAGAATTTGGCATACAATCACATATTGTGATCAAATGATGTCTCTCTTAATCACAGGTCACTTAAGCAAGGGAATTTTGTGATCAAATAGTAGGCGAGGAAGAAGAGAACAGCAGCAAGGAAGAAGTGGAATTCAGGAGCCAGGAAGATCATCCACAAGAGATAAGAGAGGTAGAGAAAGAAGGAGGAAGTAAGAAAGGACAGGAACAAAAAGGAGCAGAGGGAAGAGAATGAAGGACAAAACCACAAAGGTATTCTAGAATAAATAGAAGACAGAAGCCAAACTACTAAGTCAATAGATAAAGAAATTCAGCTAATATTAATAAATATTAATGGGCTAAACTCTCCAGCTAAAAGGAAACAAACACTTAAAAGATTGGTTAAAGAAAAAACAGACATTATCTGCTTACAGGAGGTGCACATAAAAGACCAGCATAGGGATTGTTTAGAATACTCCAGATTAGGGAAGCTATATACTACTCTAGCAAAACATAAACAAAGAAGGCTAGCAGCTTATACAAATGCAAGGTTAGAAGTGAAGCTAAAATATGCAGATGAAAATGGAAGGATCCTGTTAATTGAACTACAGATTGGACAAAAGTTAATGATATTGGTAATAATCTACACTCCAAATGAGAACCAAAAAGAATTGTATAAAGCACTACATGAAAAAAACGTAGAATTAGAATATGAAAATATATGTGTTGTAGGTGATTATAACGCAGTGGTAGATCCGAAGAAAGACTATGTAGGCAATTTGTCAAAAAAGAAAAGGAAAACATTACCAGCCACATTTTTTGAAATAACACAAGAATTGAATTTGTTTGATCAATGGAGCAGGATAAATCCTAAAGGACGGGAATATACTTTTTATTCAAACCCACATAAATTGTGGTCCTGCAAGGATATGGTCTGGATGAATGGAGAATTAGGAAATGAGGTGGACAAGATAGAAATTATGATGAACACATGGGCCGATCACAATCCATTAACAATAATTTGGAAAGGATATAAAAAAAATGAGACGATGGACATTAAATCCCCAAATTCTAAAAAAAAAAAAAACTTTAAGGATAAAAAAGGAAATGGAAATGTTATTTAAGGAAAATCAAAATCAACACACCTCACTTCAGATAGTATGGGACATAGCAAAAGCATATTTCAGGGGTATACAGCAAAAAGAAACAGGGAAAGGAGGCAACAGCTGGAAAAATTAATGACAGAGATTAGAGAATTAGAATATAAGTTACAAAGAGAACCTCAAAATGAAAGAACCTCATTCCAAAAGAGTGTACAGATCACAAATATATCAAAAATTATAGACCGATCTCGCTGCTGAATATGTAATGACTGACTATAAAATCTTTACCACAATAATGGCAGAAAGATTGAAGATAGTGCTAAATGAAATAATACATCCAGACCAGAATGGTTTTTTGCCAGTGAGGCAAATTACAATACAACAATACAATACAAGAATGGTCTTAGACATTTTAGAATATTATGAGGCACATCCTGGGAAACAGGTGGCACTAATCTTCCTGGATGTCCAGAAGGCATTTGACAACCTTAATTGGCAGGTTTTGATTCAACAAATTAAAAGTATGAGATTTGGAATAAAATTTGAAAAAATGATTAGTATAATATATGCTATGCAAAAAGCTAGAGTGATAGTAAATGGAGACTGCACTGAAATATTTGGAATTAAAAAAGGAGTATGACAAGGTTGTCTTACATCACTTCTACTTTTTATATTAACGATAGAAGTGCTTCTAACTCAAATAAGGCAAAATGAGGAAATAAAAGGACTAAACATTAAAAATCAGGAATACAAAATGCAAGCATTTGCGGATGATTTAGTATTCTTCATTGAGGAACCTAGGGGACAGGGATAAATTTGATAAGAGAAATCAAAAGATATGGACTAATGGCAGGACTAAAAATTAATAAAGAAAAAACAAAAATGTTAGTAAAGGATTTAACAGAAAAACTAAAGAAGGGATTAGAAAGAGAACTGGGATTAGAAGTGGAAAAAAAGATTAAATGTTTGGGGACTTGGCTTACAGGATGATGTTCGACCATAAAGGAAGATAATTATAAGAAATTGATGTTACAAATCAAATAAGATTTAGAGAGTTGGAAAAAGTTGCAACTGTTGTTGATGGGCAGAATTGCCACAATAAAAATGAATATACTACTAAAATTGTTATATTTATTTCAGACAATCCCCATAAAATTAGATTGAAAATTTTTCAAAGAATTGAATAGAATGGTGCTCAAATTCATATGGATGGGAAAGAAAGCATGAATCAATGCAAAAATATTACAAAATAGTAGAAGCAGAGGTGGCCTAGGACTTCCAAAATGGGAGCTATATTACCAGGTGGTAGTCTTACTCTGGATCAAAGAATAAACTTAGATAATAAGACAGTATTAACAGTTGAAGGGCATGACCTTCACACAGGATGGCAGGCCTTCTTGTGGGGTAAATGAGTAAGGATACATTTATATTTTTATTGCCATCAAGTTAGGGATTCATTAATAACAACATGGGAAAAGTTAACGAGGAAATACTACATGAAACTACTGGACTGGGTGTCACCGATGGAAGCAGTGATTTACCTGAATACAATGGAGAAGAAAAAGAGGATTAGATATAAGGAATTATTAGATAATCAGGGAAATTTAAAAACAAATGAAGAACTAAAAGAACAGGGTATAATTGTAGACTAGTGGCCGTATTTGCAGATAAGAATGAGGCATAAAAAAGATATAGAGAAATTTGGAATAGAAAGGGAATCCCAACAACTAGATCAAATTTTGACTGGTAAAGAAGAAAAATTTATAACGTATAACTATTTGCTCAAAGTAGAAATGGAAGAAGTAGTAGTTAAGGGCCCAATGATTGCATGGGCACAAAGTATAGGGCATAGTATACAGTTAAAAGATTGGGAAAGAATTTGGATCAGGAACTCCAAATTAACATTGTCAACATTGTACAAAGAAAACCTAGTTAAGATGTTTTATAGATGGCATTTGACACTGGCGAGATTGGCCAAAAATACAGTATATCCAAACATGAAATCAGAACGTTGGAAATGTAAGCTTACAGACAAAACATGTATAACATCACATGTGTTGGCAATGCCCCAAAGCTAAAAAATACTGGGGAAAATTGAGGAAATGGATACAAAAAATTACAGGATATGGCACTGAATTTAAACCAGAAACATTTTTATTGGGGATGATTGAAGGAAATTTAAAGAAGCATATCCAATACATCGTACAGCACATAATTACAGCAGCAAGGATTGTTTATGCCCAGAGCTGGAAAGCAGAAGATGTACCTTCTGAGAATATGGTAATAAATAAAATACTTGATTGCGCCGAAATGGATAGGCTTATGGGGAAATTGAAAGGTAAAGAGGAGTCGGAGTTTTATGAGGTAAGGGAAATGTTGTATTTATGGTTAGAGAAGAGAAATAAGGTTTAATATGGAAAAAATTGTAAATATATGTAAATGCTTGACACAGTACTATTAAAATGTAAATAGATATGCACTTTGAAAATAAATAAAACAATAATAATAAAGAACCTCAAGAGAAGTGAGGTCATAAGTCCTTCACAGATGTGCTAGCTTACTTAACAATCATCTCTAAGCAATGGGGTTGCTGGGCCTCTTGTAGTCATTAAGCAAGGACTACTTATATATGGATTATCACCACTGAACTTTTAAAAATATTATTTTAAGAATAGTGTATTATTAAAAGTAATAATACAAATATAAAGTAATGCAAAATATACTTAGACACTAGAGGCCTGAATGGTTCATGCTCTGATGACATTCAGGAAACAATTAAAAAGCTGATAGTTGTCTCAGGCTTTGGAACTAAGTAGAGTTTGAGCTGGGTTTTTGGTTTATGTTTTAATTGCAAGTTGGCCAGAGTCATTGGCAGTTCAATGGCCTACATACTGAATAAATTGTCTAAAGAAACACATCTTTGCTTTTTCTCATATTGCCTAATGCAATATTATAAAAGCTTATTTTCTGTTAAATGATTATTATTCATAGAAAAATAAAATACTCATAAGAAATGGTATAACATTCCTTAATACTTACCTGACAAGGTCTAAGGGTTGCAGTTTGAAAATATTTCGAGGATAGGCCCATTCTCTGTATAGCAATTGTCGTTCATTTGGACAATTAGGATCCTGTGATTGGCAATTGAATCTTGACTATAAACAAAACATTTTCTCATTAATTGATGATCCAAGGCCACAAATTTGTGTTTATTTTAATCAGCTCACATTTAGCCCTACATTCAAGCATGAATAATTATTCTGAAAGTCTGAAATTGCTACCACCTATATGCCACATCAATATATATTTTATCATTATTATGAAGGAAACTAGAATCTCCTGTATTATTTTTAAAATACCGCTCAAGAGGCAATGGTGGTCGTAATTGCTTTATTTTGTTTCAGTAGCAGATTGAGCTAAGACTTGTTCACACAAGTGAACAAGTCTTAGAGTCACCTATTGGAAAGGCAGTTAAACTAGCTATGTAAAATTGTTGTCAAAATCCAGTCCCCAATGAATCATTTATGTCCTAAACAACTCTGGAGTATTTTTTTGATTAACTCAGTCATTATTCATCTCATTGTAATTTCTTTTTCATGTATTTTCTCCTGGGAACAAATTTTGGTACATTCTATTTTGTCCAGTGTTAATAAGGACCAAATTTTATTTGCCTGTTGTGTTTTATTATAGTTTTAAAAACTATCAGGATTGCCAACAATTATACCACTGAAGACATGCTTCTGCGAATCTATAGGCAATTGTTATTTGTCACATGAAAGGACAAAATACAGCTCTACAAGACTAGCACTAATGAAGTTGCCTAGTTTGAGTAAGGAAATATTTGCAACAAAATAACCATTCTCAGAGAGCACCAAGGACCCTCATTTCAATCCTGAGCTACAAATATTCTTCTTTATTGGGACAGATTCCAGAATTAAATGATCAACACATAAAACTGAAAAATAGATTAAAATTATGAGACAATACTTATGAGTACATGTAGTTACTAGGCAAAATGTCTTCCTGCTGTCAAGAGTTCAATTTCCAAACCACATAAATTTTATAAAATGTAGAAAATAGAGTCTAAATGCCTTTGTTTGAAAATAGTTGTATTAATATATTAGTTTGGAAGTTGAAAAGTATTGTTTTTTTCTGAAGTATATTCAGAAGTTTCCTGATTAATTTTCAGTTGATGCAATCACTTTTCTCTTCTATACATGCTTCCACATTATTGATTTTTGCCTTTGTAGGATAGAGCAATTCACAAAAGGGATGTGGAATTCTACACACAAACATCCTTCCCAGACTTCTTATCCCAATCCCTCTAAGACACACTGTAATGGGGGGGGCAGGGGATCACACTATATTTAACATTATCCTGAACTTCAGAATTTCTCAATCAAGTCCTGTTTCAAAATTTAAAACTATTTGAATTATAGACTACTCTAGTTAAAACTTCCCATATTATGAAACCTTAATTAAACATAGCTTTTAAAACAGTGTTGGCATGAGCATGTGCACAGGGGAGCACCGAAAACCGGAAAAGCAGCTCGCCAGTGCACGTGGGACCACTGGAAACAGGAAGTACATATGCGCACTGGGAAGCTGAGCTTCCGGTTTCCAGCACGCACATGCATGCAGCCAGCTGGTTTTCGTGCACACATGCCACCAGAAACCTGAAGACTAGCTGTCCTTCCGGTTTCTGGTGCATGTGTGTGTGAAGACCAGCTGGCCAGCGCATGCTTCCCAGCGCGCGGATGTAAGCCAGGGAGCTGCCCTTCTGGTTTCCAGTGCTCCATGTGCGAAGACCAGCTGGCTGGCATGCATATGCATCACCAGAACCCAGAAGAGCAACAGGCGATGGGTGGCATGACCGGAGAGATGGCTCTGTATGCCATTTCTGGCACGTGTGCCATAAGTTTGCCATCACAGTTTTAAAAGCTACTCTGCATGACAGAGAGAAGCTACATAATCATTTCAATAGAAGTTAGTGTCTAAAATTTATATATTCCTTTGTTGTTGTCCATTGTGAAGGTTTTTAGTTGAGCTTGTATAACAGAGTGAATTTGGTATAACTTAAAAAAAGATCACAAGATTAACATTGTACATAAATATAAGAAAAAAGTAATTCTTTATTAATTAGACTCACATCGTGGAGTGGAAAAGCAGCCTTGTAGATTCCAGAGTCCAAAAGTTTATTGATACCAAACATTTTCACATTATTTTTCATAGCATACTCTCCTCGACAAAGAATAAAGTGAACCTGAAATCCCCGCCCCCCCGATTTTTTCATTAGCAGGGAATGAATTCAAAAAGTGGCAAATATTTATGAGACAATACTTATGAGTACATGTAGTTACTAGGCAAAATGTCTTCCTGCTGTAATTTTCTCTTGGAATTTACCAGTGTTCTTTTTAAATACTTTTCCCTAGTTGCAATTAATTATGGCCTAAACAAACCCTGGCAACAACTTTTGTTTCCTATGTTTTCATAATGTTGCCTTCATCTTCTCTTCAGCCTATGAATGAAATAGGCATAAGTCATCAGTTGTTAAAATAGTATTTTCCCATGTATTATGACACTGTTCAAAGATGGGCTCAAGCAGTGAAAAAACTATTAGATTTTCATGGGTGAAAATCAGGTGATAGAAGTGGTATGTAACAGTGGCAAACAGCATTCGCTTTTCTTTAATCTCTATTATGGTAAACCATAGAGCTCAGCAGTAAGGAAAGGTCTTAGTCAGGGGTTAGTAGCTGAACACATGTTTTTCCTTATTTGTACCTTGAATCCTTCCACAGCCCATGTGAACAAATGCTTGACTTTTCAAAAATAGTTTTTAAAGTATATGGTCCTAGTTTCATATGGGCTGCAACATCTATAATAACTCTTATGGCATGTCTTGCAGACCAAAAGAGTTTGTGAATGTATGATTTTCTGTTTTTTAACACAAACAGCTTTGAAAATGAACTTTTGCATAATAAAATCTGTTGAAAAACCATGACCATACCAAAAACAAAAAAACATTTGCCGATGTTCATATGTTCATGTTCATAATTTGGCAAAACAAATTATGGTAATAAAAATTGGTAGTACTGACAACATCATATAGAAACCAGCCTTATGCAAATGCTCTTGGTATATGTAACTATATGTATATTTCAATATTATCTATATTTGCTGATATCAATTTGTTCACCAGTTTCAAAGAAGAGTCTTGCTCAACTCCATCTGGAGATGTTTTGGACTGAAATGGGAACCAGTTTGATTCAAATTATTCTTTCTACTAGTTAGTTGTACTCTGCCACTTCATTTTCCAACATTTGATTATATGCTGCAATGCATTTTTTACATATTGCTTTGATATTCAGAAGAACAAAATAAACATTAGTCTAATATTGCACTTAAAAAAAGATCCTTTAATACTAAATTCTACAACTTACTATTCGGCTCCTAGTTGCTGAATTGAAGAACAAGTCCTTGTCCTGAATATAAAAGTCTGAAATACGCTCATTTTCAAATGCAGCAGTAAAAAACTCCTGTTCAGGTTTGATTATATTTTCATCCACATTAAAGAATCTGCTTATTGATGTAAGTGCTGAGTCATGGCTTTTCGTATCATCGGGTTGCAAGGGCAATTTGATGTGCATAATTTCAGCATAACTACACAGCACTTCCCAAGGAGCATGCACCTTTACAAAGGTCAGCTTTTCATCCGTGACCTGCAGTAAAAGGATATTGATTATAATATATGGATATTTTAAAAATACCACATCTCAAGAATAATTTTAACATTTCTTGGGAACCACTGAAAGAGCTGATCTTATGACACATAAAATACTTAACTGCCATTTCATAAGCTACACTAATAGGAACTGAGGAGTTACTTCTGGTGAAATGGATGACTATATATATTTGATATAAATAAATAAATAAATTAAGTAAGTAAGTAAGCAAGCAAATTACAGCATTACTAAAGTGACAATTGCTGAGAAAAGACATGCAGATCCTATAAAAAATTCAAATTTCTAAAATTTAGTGATGGATGATTCTACTTCTTAGTGACTGATATGAAAGTCAAGTTGTGGAAATCCAGTTTAAAATCATAAGAGCTTTCTGATTCAACATTTCATTCTTATAATAGTTAATCAGATGTCTGTAAGAAGTCCTTAAACATAACATGAGTTCAATAATAATTTTTCAATCAGGCCTCTTAATCAGGCTTCCTAATAAGTGATAGTGAGAAGTTTTCAGTCTTTCCTACATGCAGTCTTTTTTTTCCTATTAAAAGAACATATTTTTATAAGCTTTCCAGACAGGCTCATTTTAATTGGTTACCCCTTTTCAAGCATACAATTTCCTTTACCAGGTATGGTGATCAAAACTATATTTTAATTTTGATGATAAAGCACATATATTTTGGAGTAAGATTTATATTTTAATACAGAAAATTCTTAAAATGAAGATAAAGATGAAACCAGAAACTTTTCTTTTGGGTTTAATGGAAAAAGACTTGGAGAAAAGAATTGGAATCTATCTTATAGATAGATAGATTCTTATACATATTGACAGCAGCAAGACTACTGTATGCACAAAAATGGAAGGACATTTCAATTCCCACTATGGACAAATGGTTGCAAAGTTGATGGAGTTAGCAGGGAGGGCTAAATCGACTGCTTTGATAAGGGATAAAAAAAGTACTTTTGTTGCCACATGGAGACCACTTCTGGACTTTGTGCTTGAGGTAGAAAGAAATGAAAGTTTGATTTTGGGATTTAATTGATTAGATTGATTTGTTTTTATAGAAATGGCTAGTTTATATTATTATGGAAAAGTAAAAAGTTGTGGTTTGATGTTAATGCTTTATTTTATTGCGAAAAGGGAGTTGGAAGTCCATTTTTTCCTTCCCCAACCCCCCTCATTTCTCTTTCCTTTTTTGCTCCCCACTGTCTCTTCCTTTTTAAATAATTTTATTAATGAACAACAAACAGAAAAAACATTAAAAACAATGAATGTGATGCATACATAACAAAACATACAAATTTACATATGCACATAAATATTAATCATCTTTGCTAGAGTTACTCCTTTCTTTTTTTAAACCAGTGGTAAAACTTCTCTCAAATTCTGTAATAATCAGATTCAGTCTTATCTTTTAATTCTTGAGTTAATCTATCCATTTCAGTGCACAACCAAATTTTTCTAATTATTTCCATCTCTTCTGGCATATCATTTCCTTTCCATCTCTGGGAAAGAGCTAGTCTCACGGCAGTGGTGACATGGATTATTAAATATATTATCTCTTTATTATATTTCCCCTCATTGATTCCCAATAACAAAATTTCAGGTCTGAACTCTGTGAGTGTTTGGGGATAAACCCCCAAGCAGAGTATGCAGCAGCAGT